TAGAGAATATATAATAAAGTAATTAGAGCATCTGCCAGAGCATCAGATTGCTTAGGTAGGATATAATAACTCCACAATTTTCTGCTTTGTGATCTTAGGCAAATTACTTCTCAGAGTTTCCTTATCTATAAGATGAGACTAACAATAGTACCTGCTTCACAGTCATCATAAGAATTCAATAAGATTCTACCAACAAATACTTAATGGATAACTAATATATACCATATGCTAATCCTTGGTACCAGAATTACTTGTGAAAAAGATTGACATTACATTCTAACAGGGCAAACAGATAATAAACAAGCAGACTAATAAATTCAAACAGTAAGGGCTATGAAGACAATACGGTACTGTGAAAGAAAATGAACAAGGAAGCATTGGCAGAGACAAACGTAAAGCATATATTGTTATTGACAATATTAAAAACTGAGATAACTTCTCCCAACAAGGCTTCTCTGAAGATAACTGACAACTTCCCCCCACCCCAACTTAGTATTTTCAAGAATTTAAAAGAAGGCTCTTGTTTTTTTGTCTTATCGGCTCCTGGTTAGAGGAGGCATTTAGGCCTGCTAGGGACCCTGAGAGGTTCGCGACTGTGTTGCCGGCGTTTTCTTTGGCAGGTGCCAGGGCTGGTGGGAGCAGCCGCCCGAGGAAAGCACCATGATTTCAGCTGCGCAATTGTTGGATGAGTTAATGGGCAGGGACCGAAACCTCGCCCCAGATGAGAAGCGCAGCAACGTGCAGTGGGACCACGAGAGCGTTTGTAAATATTACCTCTGTGGTTTTTGTCCTGCGGAATTGTTCACAAACACGCGTTCTGATCTTGGTGACAAGTGGATGGAAGAATAGCAGAGAAACCTGTATCCTAAAAGCCTGCAGAAGGGGATATTAAACAGAAGCAAGAGTTTGATCAGCAGAACCCTGGACAGGCTCAGGATTTGAAGGCATCAGGCAGAAGAGAAAAGGATTCTTTAGAGAAAGTGAACAGTTCCAGAGAAGTGATCTACAGGACCATGTGAAAAAATTCATGATGAAAATCTACGAAAACAGTATGAGAAGAGTTCTCGTTTTATGAAAGTTGGCTATGAGAGAGATTTTTTGCGATACTTACAGAGTTTACTGGCAGAAGTAGAACGTAGAATTAGACGAGGCCATGCTCGTTTGGCATTGTCTCAAAACCAGCAGTCGTCTGGGGCAGCTGGTCCAACAGGCAAAAATGAAGAAAAAATTCAGGTTCTAACAGATAAAATTGATGTACTCCTGCAGCAGATTGAAGAATTAGGATCTGAAGGAAAAGTAGAAGAAGCCCAGGGAATGATGAAATTAGTTGAACAGTTAAAAGAAGAGAGAGAGTTGCTTAGGTCCACAACTTCGACAATTGAAAGTTTTGCTGCCCAAGAAAAGCAAATGGAAGTTTGTGAAGTGTGTGGAGCCTTTTTGATAGTGGGAGATGCCCAGTCCCGGGTAGATGATCATTTGATGGGAAAACAGCACATGGACTATGCCAAAATTAAAGCTACTGTAGAAGAATTAAAAGAAAAATTAAGAAAAAGAACTGAAGAACCTGATCGTGATGAGCGTTTAAAAAAGGAGAAGCAAGAACGAGAAGAAAGAGAAAAAGAAAGGGAGAGGGAAAGAGAAGAGAGAGAGAGGAAAAGATGAAGAGAAGAGGAAGAAAGAGAAAAAGAAAGAGCTCGAGACAGAGAAAGAAGAAAGAGGAGTCGATCAAGAAGTCGGCATTCAAGCCGAACTTCTGACCGAAGATGCAGCAGGTCTCGGGACCACAAAAGATCACGAAGTAGAGAGAGAAGGCGAAGCAGAAGTAGAGATCGACGAAGAAGCAGAAGCCATGATAGATCAGAAAGAAAGCATAGATCTCGTAGTCGGGATCGAAGAAGATCAAAAAGCCGAGATCGAAAGTCATATAAGCACCGGAGCAAAAGTCGAGACAGAGAACAAGATAGAAAATCAAAGGAGAAAGAAAAGAGGGGATCTGATGATAAAAAAAGTAGTGTGAAGTCCAGTAGTCGAGAAAAGCAGAGTGAAGACACAAACACTGACTCAAAGGAAAGTGATACTAAGAATGAGGTCAATGGGACCAGTGAAGACATTAAATCTGAAGGTGACACTCAGTCCAATTAAAACTGATCTGATAAGACCTCAGATCAGACAGAGGAATACTGTTGGAAGATTTTTGGAAGAAAACTGAAAACGGCATAAAGTGAAGATCGACATTAAAATGAGGTGAAAGAAAACTATAGTGGCATAGAAAAAGTATAAAGCTCGGTTAGTTTGTTTTTTTTAATTAAAAATTAATTCAGGACTGATGTGACCTATCAGATTTCAGAACATGTATTAATAGCATATATATGCCACTGAAAACATAGGTCCTGTATCATATCTTTTTCTTTAAGACTTTTTAAGAAATATTACCTAAACATGTGGCTTGCTCAGTGTTTAACTGCAAGTTTTCATTCTTGGGACTTTGAAAACGAGATTAAACGTTAATATTTGTGTGAATCAGACTAAGTGGGATTCCATTTTTACAACTCTGCTATACCTAGCCTTTGGATTTAGAAGTGAAAATAAAGTATCTCCGACTTTCTGTTAAAATAAATAAATAAATAAATAAATAAAAGAAGCCTCTTTGAGGGCAGGGATTATGGTATTGATTCACTCAGTCTACAACTAGGGTCCTGACACTAGGTTAGGTGCTTGAAACAGAAGTGAATAAAGCACTCATAGTCTTCAAGGAGGTCTCAACCTACTAGAGAACCTGGTGATGTCTGTAACTGAACCCAGAGCCAGTGGAGAAGATATGAAGAGTAATAAGGTAAGTGTCAAAAACTGAGAAATGCAAGAAACATTCCAGATGAGAATCTAATTCAAAACTGGAAACACCAAGGAAGGCTTCCTGAAGAATTAGAAGTCAGTTAAAACAGAGTGGGAAGGAGGAGAAACAGCAAAAGAATACAAAAAGTTTATAAAGGCTTAAAGTCCATAGGAGTAAACAGGAGCTTTATAAGCCATCTAAACACTTTTGGAATTTGCCAATGAGTTGTTTCATCCCTTACTCGAAAAAACAAAAATGCAGGCTATATGAAACAAGCTTTAAGATACAGGACATCGGGTAAGGAAGAGTTCTCCCTGAGGGGCGGGAAACAAAGGAGATTAAGCCTCACGATTGTTTCCGCTTGCTGTGCTGAGTCTCCAGGCTGCGGCACGAGGAAGGGAAACCTAGAAAAGGGGAAAAAAGGAAGGGAAACAGCCCAGCAAACCCAAGCTGAAGAGATGTCGCTGAGAGTTCAGGGAGATCAAGAAGATTAAAGTTCTCAGGCAAGAAAACCAGAAAGGAGAGAGCTGCACAGAGAATGAACTCCAGAGGTCTGCAGAAGGACCTCTCAAGTATCTAGCAGAGTACTGATCAGCACACGCCAATGAGGAGACAATCTAAGAGAGCGGCAAGAACCACCTGAAATGAGACACGTAGAGCGTGGAACAGTGCCTGTTCCCACCGCTAGGCTAGAAAACGTCTTAATTCATGAAGCATGAATAGGCAGAGGATTCAAAAGGAGCTAGCCTCTACTGAGTTAGCCCAAAACTAAACCCTGATCAAGTCCTCCCTAACAAATCTTAAAAGCAAGACCCAAAAGGATCAAGATGATTCCAAGTAATAACTGCATCCCAGAACAAAAGTCAAATGTAGAAATACAACATCCAGTATTTGGCAAGGGAAAATTCACAATATTTGGAATTCAATAAAAAAAATTACCAGGCATGATTCCACTCATATAAAACTATGGCAATGAAAACTAGTCAATAGTGACTGAAAAAAAAAATCTGTGATTGCCTAAGGATGGTGAGGAGAAAAATGTGCACTGGTCTTGCATTTGGATGAATCTTTTCCACGCATCATTTTGTAATATCATAAACAGGTCATTTTGAAAACATTTGGTATACTGATTTTACAGATCTTACAAATAAACATTAATACGTTTCATTATATAATATCAAAAAGTCACATATATAACATCACCACCAATAAATATCATCAGAAAAGTCTTTTAAGTATCAGAAAACTGCTAACCTCACAGTAGTATAGACAATTTTTCAGATTCTGATTTTTCACTTGAAAGGTCAAATTTTATCAGGCTCACTTTATTTTCAAGAATCACTGTAGTCTGTCAGTTATTTTCTGAAGTAAAAACAATGCTCTGTGAAAAAAGTGACTAGTTCAGCTCACAATTCAAACTATCCTACAAGTGTTTTTCTTTAAGATAACCATTCTATTCCCGAATGTGAAAGTGTTTTACAAAAACTATTCTTCACCCAGAATTAAAGTCTTAAGGGTGAAAAATTTAATAAAATTAGTAACTTTTACTGCTTCATCAAGGACATTCTTAAGTGAAACTGGCTTTTCTTAATTATGCATTAAAGACAGAGAAGAAAATTACTATTAATACACGTTGGTGGCAATATCTTGATTGTGCTAAAGCATCAAGAGTTTTACCAGTCTTTGCTTTTGCACCATCAATGCAAAACTTGAAGACAGTTTTAAAAAAAAAAAAAAAAGGTAAGTAACATCTTAACATAACTATGAAAGTACTTCTGACCCCACAGACTGCCTAAAAAAAAAAATCTCAGGAATCTCCGGAGTTCCCTGACTAATCCTTGAGAACTAATGCCCTAAGAACACTGAAAGACCTTTAGGAAAAAAAGAACTTTAGGATATGGAATTCACAAACATTAGAATGTACAAGAGGGGAAAAAAAAAACTTTCAGATCTCATTGCAGTCCAATTCTCTTATTTTATAAGTGAAGAAACGGGCATAAAGAGCACAGGTTTCCCATTTCTCACAGCAGCAGACATGCAATAGAACTTAAGACTACTGAGTTTTTCTCTATTCTTGATTATACTAGTCTTTCTCTTTTTCAAAAATGCATTATTAACAAATACCACATTTGCCTTCTTTAAACTGAACAATGTCATAAATACATACATTCTGTGGAGATGTGGAGTTTATCTTTCCTAATGGAGAGTTGAGTTTTGTGGTCTTTCCTGAAGCAACTTTTGCATCCAAATGGTGTACCTCCTTCTCAAAACAATGACGTTTTCTGATCTGTAAATACAGAACCAAATTGAAGTTTATTATAAACTAAAAGTTTGATGAGGCTAGTTGTTCTCAAAGATCAAAATAGCTATAGTGTGCACTTTTCGCATTAAAAAAATTACTATTTCTAACTAGTAGCAATCAAGTTTCTAACAAATAGGCACTTTATTACAAGACTTAAATAAAACAGAATGCAGTAATACCTCTCAAATTCCAACCAAAATAGCTTTAATTAGAGATGTGTCAAAACTTTGCATTGTAAAATGATCTTCCCATAAAATAGTCCCACCATATGGACACCAAGAATAGCATAATACCAAGTCCAATTACATATCCAATTGGAAAATTAAATAAACATGAAAAGATTATTCTAAATTGAAAAAAAAAGAATAAAAAATTTGAATGTAAATATTCATTATTTCCTATATGATAGAATAAATTATTTGATTACTATTATATTGCTTGTTAGATATCTAATAATCCAAACTGTATTTGACTAAGTTTCTTTTATAAATACCACTGTTTTCTTTCCATGTTGGTCCTTTAATGGACCGGAACCTGGTGGTCTGGAGTCGACGATAAGAAAGGAAGAGAGAGAACGAGGCTGATGTCCCCTGGTTCACGCGGAAAGCCAATAGAGTCCTGTTCTCAGGGCTCGCGCTGCTGCACGTAGGCACTGGGTGCCCTCTCGAGAGGGTGAAGGCGTGGTGCACCTTCTCGAGAGGGTCTTAGAAGCCTGGGCAAGAAAGTGAGCTCAGCGGGCTTCCGTGCTCCAAGGAATTAGCCAGAAATAGAGAGAGAGGGAGAGAGAAAGAATAGAAAGACAGACACGGGGACCCAAGCTCTGATGGAGCAAAGGTGTTTTAATCAACATGGCGTGGGCATGTATACCATAATGCAATCCCTGTCAAAGAGAGTTGCAAACAATCACCTTTTACCGTTTGGCTCATAAAAAGGAAGAGGGTGCTTATCACCGTAATGAGAAATGCCTGGATTCCTCAGCCCAAGGAAAGGCATTCTTCTCCTCTTAATTCCTGAATATTCAGGAATTAATAAGGGCCAGAGGGTTCCTGACAGATCCAAAACAGCACACAGGAAGCCTCTTGTTAAATGCTTCCTGACATTTCCAAACTACATGTGCTTTTTCTTACTTGCCAAAAACCTATGTACTCAAACTATGAAGGGGAAAAAAAGCATTTCTACTGATAATTTATTACTATCAAAAAAGAAATGAAAGCCAATGAAATCAGGGAATAAATGTTTTACTTTGAACCCTACTTCACAGCATCTAACTGTAAGTACACATTTTGCTGGTAAAAATTTTTAAAGATTCACACTTCATTTGTAATTAGAACTTTTCCAAATATAAAACTAGAAAATGGATTTATCCTATTTCTAAAAACAAGGTTTAATTACAGAAGTTAAGATTGTACATGGAACAAACTACATAAAAATGCAAACATTTTTTGAGTATATTGAATTAAAAATAGACAATTATCTACAATGACATGCTAATTAATTAATAATCTTTATTTGTAACTAAATCTATTAAAGTCCAGTCTCCCTATCTCAATGCTATGAACTCTATGAGAAAATGTAAGAGTTCAATGCCATCAACTCAAACCACCTATTAAAAGTATATTTCATTTAAAACTTCTAGTAATTTTGGCCTTTGGAAATAAACATATTTTATAATTATTCATAATAAAAACTCAATAAATAAGAGTAACCCTTATCATTACATTAAAACTATTAATATCAAAAATATCTGACCTAAACACTCGTATCAGAGGTATTTTGGCCAAAAGAAAACACCATTATTAGATAAAAAACCAGAACAGTTAAAAGTACAAAGTAACTCTATTACTATAACATGCCATAAGTAAATGTTTTACTATCAAATTTCTTAAATATAAATAAGCATCATTCAGTTTCACTTTAATGACATGCTACTATGAATAATCTACTATAACAAGCTCCATTGTAATGAATAAATATATAAAATGAAATTACAGTAACTGGTCGTTAAATTTATATCTGACACTATCCAACTAATCTCTACAAATGCCACTGAAAACTTGATTGATACCTTGTTCAGCCATAACTAATGGGATTATTTCACTGCCAAAAGACTGTTTACCTGCTGTGCGGTTTCCAAGGGTCGAATTCTTTTCTTTTCTACTTTAAAATCATCATTTTCGTCTCTGTACATAGATGCCTGCTTCTTAGCAGATAGCTTTGCAGCCAGTGTAGTTTTTTCAGGAGAGTCTTATATAAGAAGTCATAAAAAATTAGTGTAAGTAAATTACATTTAGTCAATTTTTCCAGGAAAAAAAACTGGAGTTAGGATGTAAGATTTTAATCTGTAAGAATTCTGAATCACTATGCTGTACATCTGAAACTAATATAATATTGTAAATAGAGTACACTTCAATCTTTAAAAAGATGTTGACATTTCTAATAACTTCAAAACATACTTTAAAATATGAAATGCTAAACATCTTTAAAATCACTTATTTATCACTCAATTTACTTAACACAGACAAAGCAAACATTGTAAGAAATGTTTTCAAGAGGAAAAGTCCAGCCTTGATTTTTAATAGGTTTATGCTTTTGTAGACCACTTCCAATAATGTGGCTTAAAAAATCTAACTGTAAGAGTCTCTCAAAAACTTTTCATCTGTATAAAAATCTTTCTTTACAGTGCCTTAGTGTTCTTTTCTACTAAAATTTTCTATGATCTTCAGGCTAAAAACACAGTAGAATCAAGCTCCTAAAATCTGTTTTTTAATTCCACAATCCTGAAAGCTCAATCTCGTTTATCAGTGACCTCTTAATCACCAAATATTATCCCCATTTTATATATGTGAGCACTAGGTTTTAAAAGAAGTCAAGTAACATGCTCATATCATATGGCAAGTAAAAGGCAAGGCCTGCATGTGACTTGACTCCTGCTCTCTGACTCCAAAATCCATACGCATAACCTCTAGGCATACAGCCAAACATAACACTTTGTCTTCTTGGACTATAACAAACACATTTCCTTTCTCCTTAATTTCTATAACACCGTTCTTAACTGTTCCTATACAGTGGTTCTCCCTTTCCCTAAAACGTGAGCATTCTTAAAAGTACCTTCCTTATTCTCTGCTCTTCTCTACACATTCCCTCCACTCCCAGAATTTCAATTCATTTATTCAAGCATTTATTATATTGAGTCCATATAATTCTAGACATCATGGAAAACAATGAAGGAAAAAGTTCCTGGCCTTAAAAGATTTACAGACTATTAAGGGGAGAAAGCCCTGTGAGCAGCAGGTCCAATCCATTTTCAAAAAAAGAAGTTTGAGTTTGCACAAACATAGAAATGAATCTATGCCACACAGCATTGGTTTTCAAGCTTTTTCTGAGGACTATATTTTTTAAAGAAATATTGCTTAGGATTTCTAAAATACAATGAAAGGCCTAGAATTTTGCTGATCTATTGTCTCCTTCTCCCTATAAGCTATGTTTCTTCCTTAGGCTCTTAGGAACATAGTTTGAAACCCATTATATTCTAAAATCTTAATAGTTCTGCCTTTCATACCTAGGTCTTTAATCTACCTGGTATGAGTTTTTGTGTATAGAGTAAAGTAAGGCTCCAATGTTAATTTTTTTCTTACAGATATTTAATAGTCAAATGGCAACCCACTCCAGTATTCTTGCCTGGAAAATCCCATGGAAGGAGAAGCCTGGCAGGCTGCGATCCATGGGGTCGCAGAGTCGGACATGATTGAGAGGCTTCACTACTTACGGAAAAAACCCTCTGTGCCCTCTGCTCTACACAAGCTCTTCTATTAAAAAAATCAAGTTTCAATATACATGTAGAATGGAATCTGGGTTCTCTACAATTTTCCACTATGCTAATACCATGCTGTTTTAATTATTATAGCTATATACATATAATGAATCAGGATATCTCACAGATCACGTCCTCTCACCTCAACCTGCTTCCTGAAAACTGTCTTGGCTGTTCTTAGTCCTTTGCATTCCCATACATATTTTAGAAAACACATGTAATTTTGAGCCCTACAATTTCCTGGCTAACTAGTAAAATAAGCACAAACAAATCTAGACCGGTGATTCTTAACTAGGCTAGTTTTAAGCATCCCAGCCTAGACCGCAGGGCCAGTAGGACACCAGGCAATATCTGGAGACGTGCTCGGTTGTCACAAGCCGGGAGGAGGGTGTGCACTACTGGCATCTAGTGGGCTGAGGCCTGAGAGATGCTTCTGAACATTCCACAATGTGCAGGACAGAATTACCCACAACACAATTATCCCATTCAAAATGGTAATGGTGCCAATGCCGAGAAAGTGTTAGCCGCTCAGTCGTGTCCAATTTTTTGCAACCCCGTGGACTGCAGCCCTCCAGGCGCCTCTGTCCATGGAATTTTCCAGGCAAGAAGACTAGAGTAGGTTGCCACTCCCTTCCCCAAATAAACCAAGGGGCAAATTGGTAGGACTCATTAAAGGGTATGGAACAGCTACCAAAAACAATAATCCAGTTTTAGAAAAACTAAACTGCCATGTGCCAAATACAATTAACTCCAATTCATGAAAAAAAATTATATGCATACACAAAAAGGCTTATCTTCCTAGTCTTTATAGTAGGGGAGTTTGCAAGAGGCTTACCAAAGGTGTTAAATCTTTAAAATAAAAGGTTATAAAGAAATTAAGTATATTCAGAATATACTTAAAACAACAACAAATCCTGGAAATCAGTAAGAAACAACCCAAAAGAAAAATGGGCAAACACTTGAAGGGGTAGTTCACTAAAGGGGATATTCAAATGACCAATAAATACATTAAAAAACACTCAATCTCATTAGTTACCAGAGAAATATCAATTAAAACTCACAACACCACCACAAAGGAACCAGAATGGCTAAAATTCAAAGACTCAAATATCCAGTGCTAACAAGAACGCTGAACAACATAACTTCCACATACTACTAGATATAGGGCAAAGGGGTGTAAAATTGGTTCAATCATTTGGAAAATGTTGGCTTTATCTACTATAGCTCAACATAAACATATACACAAAAACTAGCAATTCTATTCCAAGTTATATATCTAATAGAAAATATTTACCTATCTGTACCAGAAAGAATAAGAATACTTATAAAAGATCAACAACCAAAATAAGAACCCATCCAAATGTCTAACAATTGTAGAATGGACTAATAAATTATGGCATATAATCTATTACATGCCATAAAATAAAGCTATAAGAACCATACTTTATGCAACAACCCAAATGAATCTCAGAAATATTTTAGGCAAAAGTTGACAGACACAAGAGTACAAATATAATTCCATTTCTATGAAGAAGCAAAACTCATCAATGATGACATAGGGAAAACAGCAACTACCTATAATGAGAAAGAATACCAATTGGAAAAGTACATGAGAAGTGCCACTGGGGTGTTGGCTATGTCCTATTTTTCATCTAGGTGGTAGTTACTTGAGTGTAATTACTCTATGAAAATTCATCAAGCTATACACTTAGAATTCTGTGTGTTTTTCTATATTTAAGTTACATATTTTTAAAGAATTTACCTAAAAATATAAAGAAAGTATCAGAATATAACCCAGATTTACCCCATCTGATCCTTGAAAAGATTATTCTAAATAACTCTAACTCACAACTATATTAAAATTCAAGTTGTGTAAATATTGAAAATTGATTTTTTACAAAGTTAAAAAAACAATGCAGCAGATAAAGAACAGCCTTTTTGATAAATGGTGCTGAACACTTAGATATTCGTATGCCAAATAAATGAACTTGAATCCACACACACCATATACAAAAATTAACCCTTAGACCTAAAAGTAAAACCTAAAACTAAATTTGATTAAAAAAAGAAACTTGTACTCAAAAATATATAAAGAACTCTTAAAACTTAACAATAAGGAAAAAAACAATAGACAAGCAAAAGATTTCAACACAGTTCATGAAAGAAGACATACAAATGGCTAATAAGCATATGAAAAGATGCTCAACATCACAAGTCATCAGGGAAATGCAAAATAAAACCACAATAAGACACCACTATAAGCTTCTAAGAGTGATGCTGGGAAAGACTGAAGGCGAAAGGAGAGGGGGTGGCAGAGGATGAGATGGTTGGATGGCATCACCCACTCAACAGACACGAATTTGAGCAAACTCCAAGAGAGAGCGGAGGACACAGGAGCCTGGTATGCTGCAGTCCATGGTGTCACAAAGAGGTGGACACGACAGTGACTGAACAACACAATAAGCTTATCAGAATGGCTAAAAAGATTACCACACCACTGTCGGCAAGGACCTGCCGTAGAGAAATGAGAACTCTCATACACTGCTGGTAAGAATGTAAAACGGCATAACTACTCTAGGAAACAGTTTTGAAGTTTCTTAAAAAGTTAACCATAAGTGATCCAGTCATTACATTCCTAGATAACTACCCAGGAAAGTAACAACATATGTCCATAACAATGACTTATAAACAAACATTCTTAACAGCTTTATTTGTAGTAACAGCCCCGAAACTAGCAACAACTCAGATATACAACAACAGGTGACCAGATAAACAGTTTGCAGGGCTTCCCTCGTGGCTCAGATGGTAAAAGAATCCACCTGCAATGAGGGAGACCCAAGTTTGTGGAGGAGGAATTAGAGGTTGTTTGGGGAGGAAGAATTAAGAGGTGGGAAGGAGGAATAACAAAAGAGCATGAGTAAACTTTTGAAGGTGATAGATATATTCACTACTTTAATGTTGGTGAAAGTTTCAGGGAAATACTCTTACATTAAAGCTCATCCAAATGTACTATTTAAATATATAGTTTGTTATGTCAAGTATATTTCAATAAAGCTATCTTTTTTTAAAAAAATTCAGGTTGTACATAAAACAAGTCAGAGTTCTTATAATTAGATCAAAATCAATTCCATTCCTTCATACAACAGGTATTTAACTAACTACTACCTATATGCCAGGCACTGTGCTAGTTACGCAATGATGAGCAAACGGACGACAGTTCCTGATCTCATGGACTATACAGTCTGCTAGGGGAAGCAGAGATTAATAAAAGATGCACACACACTATGGAAAACAGTGTGGAGATTTCTTAAAAAGCTGGAAATAGAACTGCCATATGACCCAGCAATCCCACTTCTGGGCATACACACTGAGGAAACCAGATCTGAAAGAGACACGTGCACCCCAATGTTCATCGCAGCACTGTTTATCATAGCCAGGACATGGAAGCAACCTAGATGCCCATCAGCAGACAAATGGATGAGGAAGCTGTGGTACATATACACCATGGAATATTACTCAGCCATTAAAAAGAATTCATTTGAATCAGTTCTAATGAGATGGATGAAACTGGAGCCCATTATACAGAGCGAAGTAAGCCAGAAAGATAAAGACCATTACAGTATACTAACACATATGTATGGAATTTAGAAAGATGGTAACGATAACCCTATATGCAAAACAGAAAAAGAGACTCCGATGTATAGAACAGACTTGTGGACTCTGGGAGAAGGCGAGAGTGGGATGTTTCAAGAGAACAGCATCGAAACACGTATATTATCTAGGGTGAAACAGATCACCAGCCCAGGTTGGGTGCATGAGACAAGTGCTCGGGCCTGGTGCACTGGGAAGACCCAGAGGGATCGGGTGGAGAGGGAGGTGGGAGGGGGGACCGGGATGGGGAATACATGTAAATCCATGGCTAATTCATGTCAATGTATGACAAAAACCACTGCAATGATGTAAAGTAATTAGCCTCCAACTAATAAAAATAAATGAAAAAAAATAAAAAATAAAAAAATAAAATAAAATAAAAGATGCGCACAAACACATGGATGATATAAGCTGTAGCAAGTGCTATGAAGGAGAGGTACACAGTGAAATGACAGAATATAACAAGGAAACCAAATCTAATCTGATGGAAAGATCAGAATGGCTGCCTTAAAGAGTCACACTTAAGCTGAGAGCTAAAGGAAGAGCAAGTTAACAAGTTAAAGATGGAACCTGACTCGGAAGACATTAACTCATGCAAAGGAGAAAGCGTGACCCTCTGAAGGAATGGAAAGAAAGCCAAAAGAGTTAACAGTCAAAACCGTGTAGACAACACAAGGGGTCACCTCTCCAGCCTCTACTCCACTTCCTCATCCTCATTCCCAACAGAATCACACTTCAGTTCAAGCAGCTAACACCCTCCACAGTAAAGTGCTTTAGCGGAAGATGAATCCATCCTTGATTTTAGAAAGTGGATACTGTTTAGACATACGTCAATCATCGTAACCTCTTTTCTCCCAGCCATTGATTGCCATTAGTTAAGGAATGGCATGAGTGAAAGCAGGCCCAGCCATTGATTGCCATTAGTTAAGGAATGGCATGAGTGAAAGCAGGAAAGGAGTTATTACATGTTCTAAACAAGAGACAATAGTTTGGACTAGGAGATATCAATGGAGATAGAAATCTATATGGGGGAATAAGGAAGAGCAAAGTATATAGGATATGTCCTAGGTTTCTGACTTAGGCAAATAATGGTCAATCTTCTCCATACAGTCAAAGCACAAGGAATATCTTTAAATTAATAATCTAATCTTATTGATAATGTATTTCTCTCAAATAAATCTAGTAAGAACTCCCAAAGTAGCTCAAATGGTAAAGAATCTGCCTGCAATGCAGGAGACCTGGGTTTGATCCCTGGGTCAGAAAGATCTAGAGAAGGGCATGGCAACCCACTCCAATATTCTTGCCTGGAGAATTCCATGGACAGAGGAGCCTGGTGGGCTACAGTCCATGGGGTCATAAAGAGTAGGACACAACTGAGCAACTAACACAGACACATTTAAGGATCATACTTGAAACATAGCTGATTCTTAGATAGGATACTGGTCTCATAAGGTCAGGCAAACTTACCAAGAATAAGTGAAGCTAATTAGATTTTGTCTTATGCTTACAGATCAAAATGGTTTATAAAATTCTATCATATAACTAATACTGCCTACAAATAACATCAATTTCTGAGTATCATTAATTTTGCCTTGCCTCCTTTAAAAATGGTTTACATTAGCAACATGTTTGAATCAATTAAAAGTGAGGCCAAGAAGAAAACAGTCCAAGGATTTCTGACCATTCTATGCATTATTTAAAATAATTCCAGAGAAATCAGGTGGAAATACATAACCAATTATGCTAACCAAATTTATCTACATTAGGTATCAAAACAGTAATAATTAACACTTATCACAGACACCAACAGACCCAGGCACAATATAAACTACCTTGAGAACCTGACAAAGTGCCATTTCTTTCAGAAGGTGGTGTACTTGGAGGGCTGAAATGATACGAAGTTCGCTGGTGCACATCACTGTTTGCAAAATTCTTTGAATGGCACGTACAACAACATGACAATGGTACTTCAGTTTTCTTTCTTAAGCTTTCATCCACTGGCTTCCCTAAAAATGAAAGAATCTCTAATTAGAAAAACATTAATCTTTCTTCACAGCTAGGGTACACAACCACCCTTTTTTTGCCCAAGGTTAGGAGGTTTCCCAGGATTAAGAATCTCAGGGCTAAAATCAGAAAACTACCTGGCAAATCTGGACAAGCTGATCACTCAATCTGCAGCACCGAATGAGGACAGGAGAGAAACACTTATGCCAGAAACATATATAGAGAAGCTAACAACAAATTTACATGATTTAGAAAAATCTAATAATAGTCAAAGATTAATAATGCAACAAAGGCACAACCACTACTGAGATATATTAAAATACTAAGTATACCTAAAGTCTGTTCTTAATTACTTACATTCTTAATTACTGCTATTTTCCTAACTGCAGAACTTGAAAGTTCAATATGGTAAATAATGTAAACAAAAAAGGGTTAAATCAAAAACAAACAAACAAACAAAAAAGGGTTAAATCATTCCCACTTATACTTCTATTTCAAAAATCATGTTTCATAATATCATTTTTGATAGCTGTATCAAAATATAGTTTAAAGTCAATATTCAAATTAAACAGGTAACTTTTAATACCTAAGTACAATACAAAATTGCAATAGTTCTGCATGTGTGCCTACAGTGTATATGAATATAATTCGAATATTAAAAAATCTGAAAAATTTATTGTACTGATATTAGTTTCCCATCTGTACTACATAAATACATTTTCCAGAGTCTCCCATTAAAATTTCATTAATAGATAATCTCATTTTCACCAAAGATAAACATCAGTAAGAAACAAAGAGGACAAACGAAAGCTTATAAAATATTTACTTTTAATCTTTAAGTCTTACCAGTAGCAAATTTTTTTTTAAAAAACACGTATGTGTGTATATACACACATATATACACACATACATATCCATAGTTAATTTAAAATTCTCCTAATACTTTAAGGTCAAAGCCATCTAATTATGTAACTAAAATGTATCCAATATTGTATTTCAGATTTATCATATAAAATGAGTGAGTGAGTGAAGTCGCTCAGTCGTGCCTGACTCTTTGCGACCCCGTGGATTGTAGCCTACTGGGCTCCTCCATCCATGGGATTCTCCAGGCAAGAATACTGGAGTGGGTTGCCATTTCCTTCTCCAGGGGATCTTCCCAACCCAGGGATCGAACCCAGGTCTCCCGCATTGGAGGCAGACGCTTTAACCTCTAAGCCACCAGGGAAGCCCATCATATAAAATAGTCTTTCACAAAAGTTAAGTGCTACTTTTTGTTAGTAAATGTGACAGGTGTTAGCAAATAAAGCAATGGGAAATAATACGAATCCATAAAAACAATATTACCATAAACTTCTGCTTATGACAGAATTTTGCTCTGGCTTCCAAACAAGCAGAAAGATCAACTAGAATTTTTCTTTTTCTGTATCCCATTTTCTAATGTTATGAGATAAGCAACACTATTAAAGGATTTATTCAAAAAAAGCAATTATTTGTATATGCTCTATAATCATGTCAGCCCCATCTCTTGAATCTTTTACATACAAATTATCCTGTAATTATTTTTATAATCATTCTTTAAGTATTCCAAGGTTCTTATGTACAGTATACTCTGAATCATCAAATAAAGGGCTATCTTACATTCAAAATTATTTTAGGATTAAGTGAATACATTGTGCTAAACTCAAACTCTTTTAGAAGACACAGAACTGATTATAAAGAAATATCTTAAAAGAGAATATTTAAATTAGCTAGGACATGGTTGAATCATTCTGGGTAAAAAGTACTTCATCAGATTTTTTTCAGGACCCAATAAGCAACCTAAAAATATCAACCAACTACTTACCACTAAGAGACTGCTGCCATGCTAAAGCAGAACAAAGTAAGGCTAAGCTTTTCCCACTCCCTGTGGGGCTCTCCAATAAACAGTGCTGCTTACTGTTTAATCCTCTGACAATCTATGAACACAAAAACAATTTTTTTAATCAATAAACAACACACTTCATTAAAGTCTCTCTTCTTTACAACCACCAGAAGTCTAAGTTGCACGCAGTTCAGGGAACATGGCAACAGCAGCAAGAACTAGAATTTAATTAAATCTGGACTGTATTCCTTTATTTGTTGTTGTTTAGTCACTGAGTCGTGTCTGACTCTTTTGCCACACTAGGGACTGCAGCCTCCCAGGCTCCTCTGTCCATGGGATTTTCCAGGCAAGAATACTGGAGTGAGTTGTCATTTCCCTTCTCCAGGGATCTTCCCGAACCATGTTTCAAACCCATGTTTCCTGCACTGGCAGGCGGGTTCTTTACCATGGAGCTACCAGGGAAGCCCCTGATTCCTTCATATCTCTCCCTAAAATTATGTTAGACTTAAAGAATATCAAGCACAAAAGAAACAAAAGCAATTGGTGCCTTACTTATGCAAACACCACCATTTCTATAAAACTAGAATACACTAACATCTTCAGTGAAAACTTAATAGAGGACACTGCTGAGAATGTTACAACCACTTTGTGCAGAAATTAAAAATTTCTAGTAAAGTTGAAGATACCCAATTTCATCAATCCAGTCCTAAGGAAATACCTAAAACCTTTCCCAAATGAATATAAGGCAACACGTATAAGTTCATGGCAGCACTGTTTGAAACTGCAAAATAACGTAAACAATCTAAACGTCCATCAAGAGGAAAATGGGCAAATAAAATTCTAGTATATTAATACAACGGAATAGTATAAGCAATGAAAAGGAGTTATCAATCAATAGGGCTCCATCTTAGAAATAAGCTTAGACAAAGGAACAAGGTCATGAGGAGGGGAGGGCCTGGTATGCTGCCTCCCTTTCTTCTGCCCTCAGACTCTGCGTCGGCCACAGAGCTTAACAGTGCTGTGCTGGGACAGAGCAGCAAGGTTCACAACCTCTGTGGTTCACAGGAACCACTATGACAAGGGTCCAGGGAGGAATCCACCATTTTCAGTGGAAAACAAGTGGCAATTACTAGTTATGATGACTTTGTACTTTGGATCTCAGTTTGTTTCTCCTTTCTTTATAGTAAGACACCAACTGCTTAAAAAATAATCCATGAAACAAACATGAAAAGGAGCATTTAAAAAAAACACCAGTTCTTGAACTCAATATACTAGATATGTCTGTAAAAAAACTTATAGCAGAAATCCTTTTTGTAAGTAATAATAATATTAATCTTAAGAAAAAAAACACAAAATCAAGTTCTCCAGAAAGCTGAGTACAATATCGTATCACTGTGCAAAGTTTAAAAATACGTAAAGTATATTCAATATTGTTTATGCATACATGTATATGCAATATAAGTATAAAAACATGGCTAGAAGAGAAAAAGAACAAATTCAGGATATTAGTTATCTTCTTACTTGTAAACAAGGTAAAATATGGCAAAACGCTAAGATTCAACAAAGCTGGTATGTTGGTTTTACTCAAATTTGTATATTAATTTTCTATATGATTGAAATATCTCAAAAAATTATGGTGAAAAATATAGTATTCTATATAAAAGATAGTAAATACTTTGTATTTCAAAGTAATTCAGTAAAGCAGTAATTCAGTAAATAGAAGTTTCAGATGAGCTGAGAACATTTTTTAGAATGTTCTCCTTTGCCTCCTAATTTTATATATATATATATAGTTTTATATATATATATATAGTTTAGCAGCAATCAGTATTACTTTTCCAAAGGTCAGAGGTTCTTCAATGAACCCAGCAAATCCATCTACTATCTGCAAAAAATATGTAGTCACAGACTCAATGTATGTTACGAATTATAAGCACCTGTATCTTAAGACTTAACTGCTGAAAAATACTTACAGAATTCATCATAGCAAGCTGTGATGGATAAGCTTTATAAGGAAAGTTAATCTTCACCCCACCAATTGTATATTCAGCTGAAGACATCATGCTTTGCTTACTTCAGATTCCTAACTGCAACAGAAATGAAAGTCAATATTAAAATAAAGCTATTCAAAGGAAAATAGATACCTAAATCTAAGGCAGAAGCCTAGAAATAAAAATTGGAATAAATGTATAAACAAAACAAATGAAAGTAAAAGAATTTCCTACCCTGACAAATCACAGTGGTTAAAAGCATGTCGTGGAATCTAACAAATCTGGATTTGCATCCCTATTCTGCCAAAGCCGTGGACCAAGAGTTAGGAAGTATAGGTGCTAGATCAGGTTCTGACAACTCAGATATTTTAACCTGATTATGTCTCTTTGCTTTTCTAGACAAAGATTCTTATCTGTGTGTGCTATATGCTCAGTTGTGTTCAAATCTTTGCAACCCTATGGACTGCAGCCTGCCAGGCTCCTCTGTCCACGGGATTTTCCAAGCAAGAATACTGGAGTGAGTTGCCATTTCCTCCTCCATGGAATCTTCCCCAACCAGGGATTGAACCTGGCTCTCTGGTGTCTCCTGCATTGGTAGGCAGGTTCTTTACCACTGAGCCACCTGGAAAGCCCCTCTTACATGTAATAATCCCTAATTTAAAAATTGTTGTAAGGAAGAAAGCACCTCGGGCACATAATAGGCACTCAATAGTTCTTACTTTAAAGGTCAGTAGGGTATAATGGAAAGATGGGTTTTGAAGAAGGGAAAGCCTAAATCTGAATTCCACTGTGAATCACTTAACCTCACAGAGCCTATTTCTTCATCTGTGAAATGGAGCTATCTGCCTGATAGGGTTTTTATGAATATCAGCCAAGCACTGAGTTAAGAATTAAATAAAATAATGTACAGAATGTGCCTAAACTCCAGTATCTGATACACAGGAAGTGATCTTGTTTAATCCCCACTTCTTGTAAACCATATTCCCTTAACCTGGGATCCACAGTTGTAATTCAAAGATTGTGATCTTTTGATATTGCATGCAACAGTTTCTGTGCATGATTGCATTTTTTTAAAGAGAAAGTCCATAAATCTCTCATTCCCAGAAATATATCCTAAGGAAATAATGGAGAAAATTATATACACTGTTATCAACTGAGAAATTATTTGCAGTAGTGAAAAAAGGTCAATTCGATCTGAGGACAGAGAAATGGTTAAAATACCAATTCAACAGATTAGGAAGCCAATAACAACCTTTACCGTAGCTTATTTGTCCCCTAAAAGTTCAGAACCACTATTCTAAGGTATTTTTCAGTTCTAACAATTGGTGTTTCTGTGAAGCGCTGAGAATGAAATTTGGTGGAATCTCATCCCTTCATCTAGGGCTTCCCAGGTGGCGCTAAGGGTAAAGAACCGCCTGCCAATGCAGGAGACAAAAGACACTCAGTTCCATCCCTGGGCTTGGGAAGATCCCTTGGAGGAGCGTAAGGCCACCCATTCCAATATCTGACCTACAGAATCCCCGTGGACAGAGGAGCCTGGTGGGCTGCTGTCCGCGGAGTCGCAAACAAGTCGGACACGACTGAAGCGACTAAGCAGGCACGGATCCCTTAAACTAAACCAACAACTCTAGACCGGCCCAGTTTCTCACATAGAACCTAAAAACCAACCTCCCCGCCCGCCCCAGTTGTGGCAACAGGTATCTCAAAATAAGGATGCTTCGCCCACCCTGAACAAAGATGAAACCAACCAATCTGGCTCCAGCCGTCGTCCCCTCCCACCCGGAGGGAACGCAGGCTCCGGGGCTAAAAACAGGCCTCTGCCCTAAGCGCAGGTTCCCCACTCCCCAGGCTTTCTTCCTCATATTCCTTCCTCCCTCAGCAACCTGGGACCCCCGAGACCGGGCTGATCCACTCAACACCGAAGGGCCCGCAAGGCGGGTGAACGAGAGCAGAGGGGACCCTCCTCCTGGCCGACGTCGCGCCCTTCCCCTGACACACACTTGCCCGCCCTAAGGAAAACCCAAACAACGCAGAATGGGCTCCGATTTCACCAGAGAAAAGGAAGCCGAAACCGACGAGCAAACACAACGGAGCCCTGGCAGAGAAGAAAGGTTCTAGAACCGCTTCACCTTTTCTCCACTCCAGCTCTCAGCAGCCCTCTCCGCAACACCCGGACGAATTCCCGCCTCCCGCCCCTCAACTCCCAGCACCCAATCGCCGGGCGAGCTCAGACAACCAATCACTCGCCAAGACCAAAACCAAGCAACCAATCATGGCTCGAGGTCAGGGGGCGCGCACTCTGGAACCCAATGAAAGCCTCCGCAGTAAGAACGAACCCAAGGTCCGCGGCGGCACCGGAAAGGAAACGCCAGAAGCGTGAAACACTGCGAAGAATCCCAGGGACTTAAGGGAAAATACTCCATCCGCTCCGATGTACTTTTTTGAAACCGGCGACTTAACTTGTGCGTCAGTTTCCTTGGGAACTCCACGTCTCGTATTTAAAGTACGTAGACCGTAGACCAACGGAGAGGAAACACTGTTAAGTCCCTGCTCTTTCAGTATTCATCCGCCCGCCCCCACCCCCAGTTCAAATTTCCGAACTTTCCGGAAGCCAGAGTAAAGACCCAGGCGGGAATTGCCAGACTGCTGAGCCAAACTAGGCGAGGTTGGATGACAGCTAGCTACAAAACCTCCTGATAATCAAGGCTTTCCTGGGTCCACATTCAACCAGAGATATGCTCTCCAGGTCTCCAGTACCTCATTTAAGGCTTATCAGCCTCCTATCCCTCCTAAGACCAATTAGGAAAATTGCTAAGAAAGCACACTTTCCTCAAAGGTAGGGAGAGTTAAACACCATCTCGCCAAATTTTTAAACTCTAGCGTAAACTTGGCTTAAAATACTAGTATTTCAAAAAGCAAAACCAGAGACAGTTTCTCACATCCCATGAAACCAATTTGGGAGAGAGGTTTGCTGCAGGCAAGCATGTATGCATGCATGCTAAGACGCTTCAGTTGTGCTGACTCTTTGCAACCCCATGGACTGTAGCCCGCCAGGCTCATCTGTCCATGGGACTCCCCCCGCAAGAGTATTTTGCAGGAAGGAGCAGTGAAAGGCGAATTGATTCGTTTGCCTCCCTTTGTTTTACTACATCTTCCCCAAATGACAAAACTTAGTCATAAGACTAAATTCTGCCTTTTGCAAATTCAGGCTCAGAAATTTATCCTTAAAAAGTTATCAAGGACTTCAGTGGTGGTCCAGTGGTTAAGAATCTGCCTGCCTGTTACAGAAACTGAAAAACTTTTGACAAAGCACTGCCAATGCAGGAGACATGGGTTGGATCCCTGATCCAGGGAACTCTGACCCCACATATAAGGGAGGAACTAAGCAGGCAAGCCACAGTAACTGAGCCCTGGCTTCAACTAAGACGTGAGGGAGCCAAAAATAAATATTTTTTTTAAAAGTAATCTAAAAGAAAAGTAATAATACCTCAATTGATAATAGTGCCTATTCTAATACTGAAAAATAACCATATACGTCCCAGTCTAGTACTGTTGTGCTAAGTCACTTCAGTCATGTCCGACTCTTTGTGACCCCATGGACTGTAGTCCCCAGGTTCCTCTGTCCGTGGAATTTTCCAGGCACGAATACGGTAGTGGGTTGCCACTTCCTCCTCCAGGGGAATCTTCCCAACCCAGAGATAGAACCTGCATCTCTTACATCTCCTGCACTGGCACCCAAGGTCTCTGCCACTAGCTCCACTTGGGAAGTCCCAGTACCTATAGGGGGATGGTTATATCAATTCAATCATTATGGAGTCAATAAAATAATTATAAAACCAAACAACTTGCAAAAAGTTTCCATATAAAGTTAAATGAAAGAAGACAAATGCCAAACTGGGTATTATGGGTTCCACTACATAAAAATACATGTGCATAAGCAAAGATGAAGGGAAATTACCACAAAGATGTCATTTATTAAGTCAGCAGTAAGGGGGATAATTTATAAAATAAATCCTTAAAAATACCTTCAAATTATGTCTGCTTTTACAAAATTTTTAAAATATTAAAATCTTCTAAGTACTGATAATTACTCCCAGAGTAACTAGTATGATTTTCCTCTCGTAAGTTCCTAAGGCTGTCAACTGACTCTCACTTTGTATTGCCCTTTGATGTTCGCAGCATGACAGAAGCTGGTACACAAGCTCTGGAACCACAGAGTCCTGGATTCCAGTCCCTTGAATGGTTCCTTTCAGGTTAACAGCAGTGAAATGAAACACAAAAAACTACAAGTTCATTTGATAAAGAATATGAATGTTTATAAACCAATAGTCAAAATAGCTGCACACATCTTTTCTTCACTTGAATTTAAAAAAAATCACGTTGTGACAAATTTTATAACCTTAACTTAAAATACATGAATATTAACATTTACTAATATTTACATATTTTATTTACATCATCAACAAACCTGATGAAAAACAGCATATGTTATTATTTTTAACACAGCAGGTTTTGACCAGTCTTTGAAAATTGATCCAGGAATGTGCACTGCATTTAGTTAGAAAACATTTCAATCTTTTCTGACTCCTAGAGGTTACCTACACACACAAAATATTCCAAAACCTCAGTTTAAACAAAAGGAAGCAAACAGGAGCAGTTGTATTGAATCTTAAAAGACTATAAAACTGCCTTGTTTAAAAATATGCAAGTTCTTAGTTTGTTTTTAAGTGTACGCTTTTGTTTTTTGCATCAAAATTATTTAATTGAACTTTAAGCATCTAATAAAAGTTTAAATATTCTCATCTATGATACCGTGCATGAGATTTGAAACAGATAAAAATTACTTCTTATGTAATACCCTTTTGAGGTAGGGCCAGTAGTAATTCCATTTTACAAAGAAGGAAAATGAAATGTGACTATTTCCTAGTGAAAAGGCTAAAATTAAATTTCTTTTCTTAAAAACCACAATTTATTAGCCTTCCTGATTTCTTTTATAAGTGAAGAGGTCTGTCTCAAGTGGGGTGGGAAAGAGGGGTTCATTCAGGTATTTCTCAGAAAGCAGAGAGAAGCGCCTTCTGCACTGGATGCTTCATTAAGGAAAGATGCGGATGAGGGGCTAAATGGATGCATCTACCTCATCAGTGGACACTACTAACAGAGGACTGCAAAAGCCTTCCACAACACAGAATTTTCCCTGTCTTAATTTTTCCTGAGGTCCAAACACTGCAGATCAGTTCAAAATCTTCTCAAATGATGATGTGAATTATAGTCCTGTTGACAAACCGAGTTCTTCAATCCAGTGAGTTTTATTGCTCTAAACTTCAATGAGATTCCAATGGATTTACCTCCTCTGACTATTATAAAAATAAACTTTAAAAAAAACTAAATGAGACCTCTTTTCAGGTTAGTCTCTGCACAAAGATGTTTCTGTAAACTCTTTTAAGCCAGTATCTTAAAATTCCAAATTATTCAAGTATCTCTTTTAAACATATGGCTTCATATATTAGTAAACATTGAAGCAAATATGTAAAATCTTTAAATCCTTATCTGTAAGTCCATGGAAGTCATTTACAAAAAGCTGTTTGCCTTTTTTAAAGCCCTTCTCAATACTGTTTCTTGAGAACTGGAATTCCATCTTGCTATTACTATTCCATTCATTACTATTATTACTTGCATTGCAAGTTTTAAAGATTCCTATTGTTTAAAACTCCTAATTTTCCCTCAATACCCCCTTCCCTTTTTCTCTCTCTCATCACTGCATCACTGTACTGTTACTAGCTGATGGTTAAACATTGGGGCTATCCACAGACTTATTAATAAGATATTAAATTAAAGGCATGGCAGTTTTTCTTCACTTCAAAAGCTTAATACAAGACCATATTCACTTTTTCAGTAATGAGTTTCTTAAATGTGCTGCCAACAGAAAAAGAAAAGCTCAGTTGCTACAAAAAAACATACCAGCAAAGTAGATCCAAAGAACTGCCAATCAAATACAAGCAAGCATAATTCTCAAGAGAGTCCTAAAGTGTATTCATGTTGAATTTAATCATTTTAGTGATTCCAAGATGTTTCTGTTCCCATTCAGTTTAGTTGTTATAAGATGCATGTTCGTGTTGGGTATATGCAGCAAACAGCTTCATTTTTTAGTTTTACGTTTGTTCTTTGTTAAATTCCACTAACACTCATGTTTATTATTTCAATTACTGTGCTTTCAATACAATGACAGAGCTGTACATCAGGATCCATGCTTCCAGTGTCCCCAGGTCCATTTTTATAAGACGGATCTTTACTGAGTCCAGACCATCCACCTGGTTTCTCCTTTATTTGTTGAAGACCTAAAAACATAAGGAAGAATAATTAAGGGAAGAAATCTGGAAAGGATTTGGGCCTTTCTGCCTGAAGTATTTAAACAACTCTTGAAAAGAAGTTACTACTTACGTGTAATAATTGGATCAATGTCTCTTGTCTGAGTGGCAACGTCAGAGGCACAAACTTGCCCTATTTGGATCAGCAAAGACATAATATCCTCATACAGTGGAGGAAACGCTCGACAAAAAGAGACCAAACTTGGCAGAGTTGGCATGAAAAAAGCATATCGCTTAGCCTGTGTTAAAACTGTTGGAAAGAAATGAAACAGAATTTCACAGATATAAATTCAACATGCATGGCCTATATAGTATACTAAGCATTATGCTCTGTGCTGAGAACACTAAGTTTTCTAAGACACAGCCAGCCCCTGCCTTCAGGGAGCTCACAATCTAGCAGTCAACCATTATCTACCACATAAATGCTTATGTTCAAGCACTATTATAGGTGCATGACATACACTGTTTCATTTAAATCTCACAATATTATAAATGAAAAAGTATCTTTATGATACCTATTTAATATGTAAGAAAACTCTTAAATAAACCTTACATTAAGAAGCTGTTCAAGTCCAGGTAGCAGTGGGGTGGAAAGACAACTCAGGCAGTTTAAGTTCTTAACCACTATAAATAGTATAACATGAAGTGGATATGATGGAAAGAAAAATGAATAAATTATTATGAGAGCACTGAGAAAGAATATGAAACTGACTGAGACCTTAACTTTTAAAGATTGAATTATAGTTCATATCTTTTAAAACAGTGTATTTTCATTCCATTTTACTTAACAACCTGGAAGATGGTTAAAATGCTGGTGTATGTTTCAGAACTTAAGGAAACAATTAATATATTAATCTCTTATTTATACAGATGATTATATTTTTCTGGAAGTCTAAGCATTTGCAATAAATTATAACTTGTTTTCTAATGACATAATTACATTCAGAAAGCAGACCTGATTTCCACTTACAAAATTTGTAATGCTTAGTATATTTACTGTAAATCTATGTATAGTCATTTTCAAAAACGAAAGATACAACTTGCCTACCTAGTCATCCCCTCTATACTATACATCACATTTGTCACAGAGAAGTTTTCAAAAAGAATAACTCAAAATTATTGCATAAATTAAACTACCAGTGATGCAGAAAACATGGTGTGAGTAAATTCAGAAAAAACATGTACTACTTTATGGTAGACATTTTTGTTATTGATGCCCATGAGATACACACCTGTTAGCAAAGTTCCCATGACATTGACAGCTAAGCGAGCCACACTCAGTGACTTTGGTAATGCATACTGGATACACAAGTGAGAAAGCAACTGGATAGCAAATATCTGTAACACAAAATAAAAAGATTACAAGTTTCTGAAGAAGGTCTTTGCGTGCGTATGTGCCTGCTAAGTTGCTTCAGTCATGTCTGACTCTTTGAAACCCTTTGGACGCACCCTGCCAGGTCCTCTGTCCATGGGATTTTCCAGATAAGAATACGGGAGTGGGTTGCCATGCCCTTTTCTAGCGGATCTTCCCAACCCAAGGATCAAACCCGCATCTTTATGTCTCCTGCATTAGCAGGCAGTTTCTTTACCACTAGCACCACCTGGGAAGCCTAAAGAAAGTCTTTTAAGTATTAAAAACTGTAAAATGGTTTATATAACCAGGAAGATTAAAGAACGGTCAAAATTGTCCTAAAGTTCCAAAATACTCATTACCTGTTTTTCAAGTTCTGGCTGTGCAATTAGCTCAGGTATGAAATCCAGACAGATGTGCATAGACGGAATACCAGCGACCGTCAGAGGCAAGAGTTCACATGGGTAACCCTATCTCAACAAGGAAGGGGGGAAAGTTAGAAATAAAATAAGTCAAGACAGATACAAATACAAAGGAAGGCTTCACTTCCTTGATGCAGCAGTCGCTCAGGAGGCTACAACGCCCTCCATGTTTCCTGGCATCTCACCTCTCTGATGCACGAAAATAGAGATAAATTACACAGACACTTTATCAGGCTAAAGTCAAATGTTTAAAAATCTTGATTTTTCTCCATATTGCAAAGAACCATGATCATTTGCATGACTTCCAGTTTCTAAATGATCCTATTAATTCAGCAATTCACAACTACCCCCCAAAACAAAGTTCAACCAAAAGGTATCATTCTTTGAAACCAGACCTGAAAGTGAACAAGTTTAGCAATGTTGGGATCTGCGATGTACATTTGGTGCAACAGGCAACAGATAAGGCACTGAACTTCTCGAAGGTTACAGAGCAAATTGTCTTCTCCTTCCTCCATTCCCTTATTTGGAGTGCTGGCGGTAATAACACTTTGAACATTCTTTAGCAAGCTGTCTGGATTGACCCCCTTTGCCTTCTCCTCTTCAGTAGGTAAGCAGATCTCCAAGAGAATCTGGACTGCTGCACTATCCTACAAACGAATAAAACACAGAGAAGTGAAGAAGTTTCTGAGAAGTCTGATTTGTTTTCACATAAACTGATGTGATAAAAACAAATAACTCTTTCTTTAAAGAACAAACAGCAAAAGTGAACAATCTGTACGCCAGTGGTTCTCAGCTTTTTTAGCGCCATGAACCCTTTTAAGAATCTGAAGGAGGACTTCCCTGGTGGCAGAGTGGATAAGAATCTGTCAATGCAGGGGACACGGGCCCAAACCCTGGTCCAGGAAGATGCCACATACAGAAGGGAAACTAAGCCCCTGAGCCCCAGCTCCTGGGCCCGCCGTGCCTAGGGCCTGTGCTGCACAGCAAGAGCAGCCACCGCAACGAACAGTAGCCCATCACCACAACTAGAGAAGTCTCGCACGTAGCGATGAAGATCCAGTGCAGCTAAAAATGAGTAAATAAATGAAATTAAATTTTAAAAGATCTGAAGGAAGCTAATGCCACCCTCTTAGCATAAAAAATTAACATATGGCATAATTTCAAAGTGCTCACACATCTCCAATGATGATCCATGAACTCCAGTTTACTACTACAAGAGTATTCTAATTCAGTATCATCCAAAATGGACCCCAGACAAAAAGTGACTTCTACCAGAATCTCTTTTTCCTTCCTCTTAAATTCTTACTTCGCCCAGGATGTCTTGTATTCCTCTTTTTTTCCTCACCTCTGAAGATGGTGGTTAATAATAAATGTCTAAAAGCCACTCCCCTAAGCTCTTCTCCCTTTTAATTTGAAGATGGACTTTTTAAGGCTCAGGAAAGACTCTGCCTCACCATCCATTCCATCTGTGCAACTCATGTTGCTCAGTCCACAAGCCTGTGTGTCATTTCACAGAAAAGCAGCTTCTTGAGGGGCGATCTATTTAATGGCCCTACCTATAAGGGAGAGCTATAATCACTCTCACCTAGCAGCAAGGAAGAAAAGAAAATGAATACATAACATGCATCTCTGAAACACAGCTACTGCCTGGGATAGAAGAAGACAATTACTCCATCTAACTGAGTAAGAACCTGATTATAAACTAAGGTTAGCCTTACATTACAATCATTTATAAAGTAAACTTTATAATCATTCTTGAGGGGGTTTGGGTTATTACTGTTCTGCATTATTTTCGTTAATACACTCTGGAGCCAGCCTGCCCAAGCTCGAATCCTATTAATAGCTTCCCTACTTACTAAATATATAACCTTGAGCATGTCATTTAACCTCTTTGAATCTCATTTTCCTACTCTGCAAAAGTGGAGATAATACTCCATTAACTTCAAGGTTGGTTGTAAAGATTAAATGAGTTAATACATATAAAAAACGCAAAATAGCATCCACCATATAATCAGCATTATATAAATGGTAGCCATTACCATCCTCAGTCACTTCTCTGAAACTCTGGGTGTCAGATTTATCTTAGAACTCAGATTCTTCTTCTGTAATGTAATACAATACCCACAGCAGAGACTAAGACAGTATACTGTAATCAAATATATTAATATTTCTGCAGCAAAACATACCAATTTTCATAGTAAGTGGGATAAGGGCCACAAATAGCTTCACATTAATTCAGGTCAAGTTTTGTCACAAATGAGGTCATATCAGGTCAGGTTTTTCTGCCAACTGATCACCAGAAAAAATGCTTCAGTTTTCATAGCTTTTTTGGATTTCCGTATCGCAGATAAGGGATTGTGGATCTGTATTATTACTCTAATTCTCCTTATTGCCAATGAAAAATTTTCAGAAAATATTTCAAACTAAGAAAACATTACTACTATGTAGACCTCTAACTGCTTAACATTCAACCATCTCACATGTCCTGCAAAAATTACTACCTAAGGCTTTAATAAATTCTACTTTGTTAAAAACCATTTCTAAATGGAACATTAACTTATGCTGTCATAGTATTTATCACTGCCTGACATTTTATTACATATATATACTTCTTGTCTGTCTGTACCATTTGTTTTTTTCCTCCATCATATGATTTTAAGAAACAAAAGTCTTATATTTTATTAAAATGTAAATCTCACTAAAATGGCTATTAAATAAATATCATGAAGATTATTCCTGATTTTAATAATAAAGTCCATCTGATATTTAGAAGCAAAGGTAACCCCATTGTAAGTTCAGTAATAAAAGAGATATACAATATGTTACCACTGTATTTAGAAGGCCATCTATTTAACAGGGAAGCCTTTGCCCTTTTTGATTAGATTTTACTTTATTACCTGAGCAGCCAGTAATGCATTTTTCAGTTCTTCTCTGGTAACTTCTGGGCCATCAGTTTGTCCAATTAAACCTATCGTATTATTCTGAGAAGGCCTATCTTGCTCTGCTGTTTCCTTCAGATGAGCACTAAGGTAGGCTTTGGATGCCAGAAGATACCCATTCAACATGTGCAGAGTAATATCCATCAGTGGGGGACATCTACACAAAGGAAGAAGAAAAGAAAAAAATACATAAGAACAAATATAAATTATTAAATTAGCCAGAACATGATCAATCAGCTTATATAATTAGAAAAACCTGAACAGTACCTGAAACCCTAAAGAGCAGGAAAGTTACACTTTTCCCACTGAAATATTCATTCTCAAAATGAAAGCTTAACACATGTAATTCTCTATACTTTTGTATGAAAAGTATTATCTATTTCACTTCATCAGCTAAAACCAAATATAATGTATGACCTAGAAAAAAAGGCATTCTTTTTTATAAAATAATGGCACTACCAATAAATCTCTTAGCTATGAGTCTGCAAGGCAACAGTCCTCAAAGGGCAATAGTCTAATGTACCTAATTTTATATTTAAAATAGACAACCAACAAGGACCTACTGTATAGCACAGGGAATGCTGCTCAGTAATCTGCAATAACCTAAATGAAAAAAGACTTTGAAAATGAATAGATGCATGTGTAACTGAATCACTTGGCTGTACACCTGAAACTAACACAACATTGTGAATCAACTGTGCTCCAACATGAAATAAAAATGTTTTACAAGGAGAGGAACAGTCAATTATTGATAAGATGAGGCAGATTACATATCCATTCTTTCTACTACTGTTTATTCTTTGGAGCAAGACAACTCTGTATTTCAAGAACACTTCACCCACTCGATGGTAAGTTATTTACCGAGCCCTAGTTTCCTCAACTAAAAAATAAATATTCATTCCTCAAAAACTGTTACAAATTAAAGTTAAATGAGATAAGAATAGATGTAACAATTACATGTAAAAAAGGAAACCAAAAGATACATCAGTAACCACTAAAATATTAAAAAGTCAAACCCTTAGGAAGACTTGAGAATGCCACTTCCCAGCCTGTCACAACTGAGCATGTGTGCACAGAGGCAGTAGAGCTTTATTTTTAAAAAACCTGTGAAACAACGCAAACAGCTTAAATGTCCATCAACATGTCAATGGTTTTTCTGAAATGTTCAAATTTTCTATAATAAAAATGCATGTATTAACAGTGAAAAAAATAATATCAATGGTTAAATAAGCCATGGCAATGTTCCCAAAACTGAACTATTTATTTTTTAAAAAGTCTAAACTCCACCAGCCATTCTGATCAGAGTTTCTGGAGGTCAGGCATATATATATGGAATACTAATGGAATACTAATCTATATATGGAATACTACGCAGCACTTAAAACAATGAGAAGGAGGAGCTATGCAAACTCATATGGAAAACATGTTGAAATGGTAGGTTTTTTAAAAATATATAAATAAACCATTTAATTTTTTAAAACCACCCAAAACAAAAAAGTAAATACTTCTATTTATAAATTTGCAAATGCTTGGAAAGTGAAGCTCCTAACACACCATTACGACAATAAAGTTCCTTCTGGAGATGAAATTGGGATTGGTCAAGAGGACAAAGAGGAATTCTCCTCTAAAAATGTCATGATAGATAGGAGAGAACACGACTTTTCACTGTACACCTTTCTCTTCTTATTAATCTACTTGTTTTTGTACTTTTGAATATATATTATGAAAACTTTCATGTATACATTAAAAAAGGGAATATTTTAATGAACCTAAGACCCCATCAGCCAGCCAGCAACAGTTATCTACACATCACATGGCTTACTCAGACTCCCCCCCATCCATTTTACCTACCCTCAACCACTGATTAGTTCAAAGAAAATCCAAAATGTCATATCTCTTTATATTGTTTATGTTTAAAAACCATCTGAATGACCACTTGGGAAAAAATTAAATTTTAAAAAAATGAACAAAATTAAAAGACAATACAATAGAATAAAAGAAAAAACTGCATTCTATATACAAATAGCTGATATCCTTTATACATAAAGAGCTCTTTAAATCAAAAAAGGTAAGCATTCCAAGAGAAAACTAGGCTAAAGTATAAAATAATAAATATATTAAAATATCCAATCTAACAAAATATAAATTAAAATAGGAATTCATTTTTCACTTATCAAATTGAAAAATATTACATGAAACAGTATAGGAAAGTATACAATAGCAAACACCCACTAGAGAATGTAAACTGTTTCAGCCTTTCTGTATGGCGGAATGAAAACATGAATCAAAAGACTGGAAAATGAGCATGTTCCCTTTGCCTCAATAATTCCATTTTTAAGAATCAATTCTTAGGAAATAGTACACATCAATTACCACAGCACTAAAAATAATTAACAAAAAAAATGGAAATAAAATATCCAACAATAGGGAACTGAGTTAAACTTTAGTGTACCTATGTGGAATACTACCTAGCCAACTAATATAAGAATATCTATTAACATGAGAAAAAGTTAAACAAGTTACTGAGTGAAAGATCCAGACTACAAAAACATGTCATACGTTATAGTAGCATAAATTAACAACTTCCTGAACAACTGGAGGTGATTTAGGTGAAAAGTTAAGTGGATTTTTAGCAATGGTAAATTGTTTTAGAAGTGGTTCTTCTCTAGAAGTGTTCTTTACTCTTGTTTCCTTTTTAAGTATCCATATATAGATACTTAATATCATTTATATTGTTTACTCTTCTGATTCCTCATCCCTCTGAGACCTTGATCTTACCAAACTGTATCTGATTTATTCTGCAGATGTTGTAACTTCAAGAATGTCATCCCCAGGATTAAAGACAGATGAGTATGTTAGACTGTACCCTAGTTAGTCTTCTTTACTCCAGCTTCTTTCCCCTCTAAGTCATCTAGCATGAACTTTCTCTTCTCAAGTTACCAACTAAATGATCTCCTAAGCCTAACACTCAAGGCCCTCAAGAGTCTGACCTTAACCTAACATGCAGCTCTCAAGTGTGTGCTCAAAAATTCAGCCATCCACTCAAGCCTTTTTCCCACTGGCTTTTATATTTTTGCTCACACTATTCTTTTTCTCAAGATACCTTTTTTGACTGTTTACACCCCATCATTACAGTTTCTGTTCATCTAAACTCTATTTCTATTCTTAAAAAGAGAACTTTGATTTCCTCCTAAAACTTTTAACAGCATCCATTTACTATACCATTCATCTGCATGTGACCATACTATTTAACTTTTCAGGTATGGGTTTTATTTCCCCATACAGGTGATAATCACTTTAAAGGAAGACCCCTCAACTTGTATATCTTTGCTATTATTTAGCAAAATAAATATATATCTTTGCTATTATTTAGCAAAATAATATTTTGCTAAATAATGTTAAAACTGAGCAATTAGAAATTCAAATATTAATGATGAGGACTAATTAATTCCACCTCTTGAGGTGAAGTTACTTCAAAGAAACTGCTTAAGTTCAGCCACTGGCAAGGACTTATACACAAACGTGGAATAAATGAACATAACCTCACAACTGAGGATTCCAAAAAGATCACAATTTTAATGCATGCAATAGTTCACAATAAACCAATTTTTTAAAAGGTTTTTTCAACAATGCTAGCAGAAACAATATTATTTTCCACTATCTTGACTCTGAAAGAATAGCTACTATTGAGGGCTGCGAAAACCAAGGATGATATTTTCTTAAAGCTAGTATTGTTAATCACATATTAAATATTAAAGTGAAGTTCATGAATATAGACAACAACAACAAAAAACAACCAAAAGCAAAAACCTCACAGGTCATACTGCCAGGTTATCTGCAAGCACACTAAGATTTAAGTTTAAACTGAATGTTTTCAATTTCCTTTGACTCTCCAAAGCATAAACTCTATAGTAGAAATGAAACTCAACACATACCTGTATACCCTCTGATCACATCTTAGTACAATGAGAGGATCTATCATCAGGTCATTCTGAGTATACTTTTGCTGTCGTACAAACTTTATCGATGGTTGAAGTGCGTTAACTGTCATTACCCACAGCCTGATGAGAAAATAATCACATGTTCAAAAACAGCTATATCATAATTGAAACCTGTAGCCAGGTTAGAAAGCTACATTCAGGGAAAAAATTCAGAACAGGTATAAATGAACTTGGGAAAATTAAAAACTATTAAAAAATCTAATCTATCATTATGTTTCTAAAACAAATGAAAGTAGTTTCAAAAATCTTCACAGTTCTAATGGAATAATCACCACATATAAAATGAACATTTGAATTAAAACCTCAGTTATACCATACTTGCTATATGACTGTATAAGTCATGGAGATCCCTGAACTTATTTCTCCTCTGTAAGATATGAAAATACCTATAAATGAAACGATATCCACCAAAGCACTTTGAAGCTATAACTGGCCCCATAAATTGTCACTGTTCTATATTTATCACCATAGACTCTCAATGTGAGATGCCACTATGAGATTAGACATCAATATCCATAAAAGTGGTTACTACCCTAACTATGCCAACAGAGTTACTGAGAGATATGTAATATGGAGGGTATCTGATCTCTCACAGTGAAGGCCAGGAGGCCACCAGCCCTCGCACACAGAGCTTGCCCACTCTTAAACACGAGTGGATAGCCAATGGTCATCAGACATCAAAGAAAGCTCCTAATTTGAAAAAGAGTAAAATATACAAACAGAAAGAGGGAATGCCAAAGAAACAGAGAATGTAGGGATAAGAAGAAAAAAATTCTTAAATGTGTAAGTTCCTTAAAGTATGGAATATTTCATATATGAGACAAGAACAGAAAACAATTAGAGATTTTCAAATAAGAGTTCTTAGAAATTAAAACTAGCCTTTTCCGGTAAGCGGCCTGAGCTGACCCTTGAAAATGGTGCGCTATTCACTCGACCCAGAAAACCCCACAAAATCATGCAAATCAAGAGGTTCAAATCTTCGTGTTCACTTTAAGAATACTCGTGAGACTGCCCAGGCCATAAAGGGTATGCATATCTGAAAAGCCACCAAGTATCTGAAGGATGTCACTTTAAAGAAGCAATGTGTGCCATTCCGTCGTTACAATGGTGGAGTTGGTAGGTGTGCACAGGCCAAACAGTGGGGCTGGACGCAGGGTCGGTGGCCCAAAAAGAGTGCTGAATTTTTACTACATATGCTCAAAAATGCAGAGAGTAATGCTGAACTTAAGGGCTTAGATGTAGATTCTCTGGTCATTGAGCACATCCAAGTGAACAAAGCCCCCAAGATGCGGCGCAGGACTTACAGAGCTCACGGTCGGATCAACCCCTACATGAGCTCTCCCTGCCACATTGAGATGATCCTTACTGAAAAAGAACAGATTGTTCCTAAACCAGAAGAGGAGGTTGCACAGAAGAAAAAGATATCCCAGAAGAAACTGAAAAAACAAAAACTTATGGCCCAGGAATAAATGCCGCAAAAAATAAATGCAAATAAAATAAAAAAAAAAAAGAAATTAAAACTATAACAGGAATATTTTAAATTCAAAGGAAAGAGCAAAAGATAACATACAGAAAACATCTAGAAAATGTATTCAAAAGATAAATTTAAAAATAGAGGAAAAAGAGGAGAAAAATCAGAGTAGGTCAAAGAGGTTTAAAACCCAAACTGCAAAAAATTCCAGAAAACAGACAAAGAGAAATTATTGGAGGGAAAAAAAAATATATATATATATATGAAATGTACCAGCATTAGTCCCCAGATGTAAAAAAAAAAAAAGGCCAACCAAGTGCCCAGGACCACAAATTTTAAAAGTTGCTGATGCTGTTTAGCTGCTAAGTCATGTCCAATTCTTTTGCAACCTTGTGACCTAAAGCCCACCAGATTCCTCTGTCCGTGGGACTTCCCAGGCAAGAATACTGCAGTGGGTTGTCATTTCCTTCTTCAGCGGATCTTCCTGACCCAGGATTTAACCCATGCCTCCTGCATTGGCAGGTGGATTCTTTATCACTGAGCCACCAGGGAAGCCCACAAATTAAAAAAGAACCACATCAAAAGGTATCATCATGAAACTGCAGAAACAGTGAAAAAGAACCTAAAACCTTTAAGAGAGAAAAAACAACAGTCACATACAAAGGACTGTGAGGTAGTAAATGAGGTTAATCAATAGCAATCAGGAAAGCTCTACTTACTTCAACAGAATAAAGCCTTCAAGTTGCTAAGAGGAAAAATAAGCTAGAATTCTACACCAAGGCTAAATATCAATCGTATGTGAGAGGAAGAATAAATACCTTCTCACACATGAAAACCTCAAAAAAAAAAAAAAAGTTTCCCAAACAACCTTTCTCAAGAAGTCACTTAAGTATGAGTTCCACTCATAAGGGACTAAACCAAGAAAGAGAAAAACATGGAATTGAACCAAAGACAAAGCATTCCAGATGGCTACTGTGGATGTCTCAGATTGAAGCATATGGACTGAAAGCTCTGAAAGGAAGGTTTCCAAGGAAAAATGTTACAGATATGTTATCTGATATGTTACAACTAACTGTTATGTAAATTTCTACTCAACAATATAGTTTGAAAGTGAATGCGTTATTAATACAGAAAAAAAAAAAAACCCTAAACAAACAGACAAGAGGCAAACAACTCAAGGTTTGTATGTGGGGTGCAGAGGAGGACAGTTGTATAAGAGAGAGATTATAATCACAGGTTATCATATACATCAACTAAAGTAACACTTAGGTACTCATAAGAAGGCATTCCTAAATTAACAATGCAAAGTAGAGGAAAACAATAGAATGGGAAAGACTAGAGGTCTCTTCAAGAAAATTGGAGATACCAAAGAAACATTTCATGTCAGGATGAGTACAAAACAGGACAGAATGGGTAAGGATCTAACAGAAGCAGAAGAGATTAAGAAGAGATGGCAAGAATACACAGAAGAAGCTATACAAAAAAGGTCTTAATGACCCAGATAACCATGATGGTTTGGTCATTCACCTAGAGCCAGTCATCCTGGAGTGTGAAATAAAGTAGGCCTTAGGAAGCACTACTTATGCAAAAAGCTAGTGGAAGTGATGGAATTCCAGGTGAGCTATTTCAGATCCTAAAAGATGAGTCTCTTAGAGTGCTGCACTCAATATGCCAACAAATTTGGAAAACTCAGTTGTGGCCATAAGACTGGAAAAGGTCAGTTTTTATTCCAATCCCAAAGAAAGGCAATTCCAAATAATGTTCAAACTACCACACAACTGCACTCTCCTCACATGCTAGCAAAGTAATGCTCAAAATTCTCCTCAACAGTACACGAACCAACAACTTTCAGATGTTCAAGCTGGATTTAGAAAAGGCAGAAGAACCAGAGATCAAATTGCCAACATCCACTGGATCATAGAAAAAGCAAGAGAATTCCAGAAAAACATCTACTTCTGCTTCATTGACTATGCTAAAGCCTTTGACTGTGTGAATCACAACAAACTGTGGGAAATTCTTCCAGAGATGGGAATACCAGACCACCTTACCTGCCTCTGAGAAATCTGTATGCAGGTCAAGAAATAACAGTTAAAACCGGACATGGAATGACAGGCGGGGTCCAAATTGGGAAGGGAGTCCATCAAGGCTGTATATTGTCACCTTGCTTATTTAACTTATATGCAGAGTGCATAGTGAGAAACACTGGGCTGAATGAAGCACAAGCGGGAATCAAGACTGCCAGGAGAAATATCAATAACCTCAGATATGCAGATGACACCACCCTTATGGCAGAAAGTGAAGAGGAATTAAAGAGCTTCTTGATGAAAGTGAAAGAGGAGAGTGAAAAAACTGGCTTAAAGCTCAACATTCAAAAAACTAAGATCATGTCATCTGGTCTCATCACTTCATGGCAAATAGATGAAGAAATTAATTAAGAAATTAACAGTGAGAGACTTTATTTCTTGGGCTCCAAAATCACTACAGATGGTGACTGCAGCCATGAAATTAAAAGATGCTTGCTCCTTGGAAGAAAAGCTGACCAACCTAGACAGCAAATTAAAAAGCAGAGACATTGCTTTGCTGACAAAGGTATGTACAGTCAAAGCTATGGTTTTTCCATTAGTCATGTGTGGATGTGAGATTTGGACCATAAAGAAAGCTGAGTGCCAAAGAATTGATGCTTTTGAACTGTGGTGTTGGAGAAGACTCTTGAGAATCCCTTGGACAGCAAGGAGATCAAACCAGTTAATGCTAAAGAAAATCAGTCCTGAAAATTCATTAGAAGGACTGATGCTGAAGCTAAAATTCCAATACTTTGGCCACCTGATGCAAAGAACTGACTCATTGGAAAAGACCCTGATGCTGGAAAAGATTGAAGGCAGGAGGAGAAGGGGGTGACAGAGGATGAGATGATTGGATGGCATCACCGACTCGACTGGACATGAGTTTGAGCAAGCTCCAGGTTTGGTGATGAACAGGGAAGCCTGGAATGCTGCAGTCCATGGGGTCGCAAAGAGTCGACACAACTGAACAACTCAACTGAACTGATGCTGGGAAAGACTGAATGCAAAAGGAGAAAAGGGCAGCAGAGCATGAGATGGTTAGATAGCATCACCAACTCAATGGACATGAATCTGAACAAACTTCAGGAGATAGTGACAGACATGGAAGACTGGAGTGCTGCAGTCCATGGGCTCTCAAAGAGTTGGACATGACTTAGCAACTAAACAACAACTCATAATTATATATACACTGAATATTTTTTTAACCAAAAATTTTGATATAACTGGGTTGAGAGAAATGGAGGAAGGGAGGATATGTGTTGGGTGAGAAGGACTCATAGGGAAGCAGGTAAGAGTGCTCAATCGTTATCTTGTACAGTAGGAATTCAAAGATAATTTCTAAATTGGAATGTCAGATAATCATGGTAATTATAAGCATATGACTAAGATATACGGTGGGATATAAATGTCAGAATTAAAAGATAAAAGAGCTGAGAACAGGTGTCTCTGAGGAGCAGTAGTCTAAAATGAGAAGGTAGGGACAGGCCTTATACACTATCTAACTTATGTGCAGTTATTAATTTGCTGCTGCTGCTAAGTCGCTTCAGTCGTGTCCGACTCTGTGCGACCCCATAGATGGCAGCCCACCAGGCTCTGCCGTCCCCAGTATTCTCCAGGCAAGAACACTAGAGTGGGCTGCCATTTCCTTCTCCAATGTATGAAAGTGAAAAGTGAAAATGAAGTCTCTCAGTCGTGTCCGACTCTTAGCGACCCCATGGACTGCAGCCTAACAGGTTCCTCCGTCCATGGGATTTTCCAGGCAAGAGCACTGGAGTGGGGTACCGTTGCCTTCTCCGGTTATTAATTTGGTATAAGTAAAAATCAAATTTAAAATGTATAGATATTCTCAGACCTACTGAGTCAAAATCTCAGGTAAATACAGCCCAATATTTTTTTTTAGACCTGACCAAGTGTTTCTGATGCAATCTATGGACCACCAGAGACCTATGTGACTAAAGACAAAATAATGAACCCAGCAGTCCACTCTGATTTAATTAGCATGGCATATAACTTGGGGATCAGGAGTTTAGAAAGCTCTCTGGGAGATTTCAATGTACAGCAAACTCTGGAACCACTGCACTGATGCAAGACACAATGGTAATCTACATCACAATTAGGCACAAATGACTACAACTCCCTTTCAAAGAACTTTCTCAAGCTGGAAATACTCGAAGGTTTCTGTGTTAAGATAAAATGTACTATTTTCCTTAAGAGATATAACAGCCCTTTAATCAGTAGTCTTCAGAAAGGATTTATATTGTCAAAAAGTTTTTTTTAACAATTTTTTTCAACATTTCAACTTAGGTTACTGTGTCACTGCTATACACTTATCTATTACATGTAACAGGGCGTTGAAATTACCTCCTAGGCATCACAGTATTCAGAACCATCCAGAGTTTATTGACTGTTTGAAGAATTCGCCGTGGAACCCCTGAATTCAACAGCTGATGCATGTTGGATGTTAATACTTCTGCATATGGTATAAGCTCACTGGCAGAAAGCAGAGTCAAGTGTTCTAGAATCTGCATCACTTGCGTGTGACTTACTGGGACAGCTGAAAACGCTAAAAGGAAAACTGCCATCACAATCTCAGCACTACACAGCTTACCAAATGGAAAGCAAATATTGCTCTGTCATACTATAGGCCAAACAAATCAAGAAAACAATATTGCTTTAAAGAAAGTAAAACTTTCAATCCTAGCCATAGTTGTGGGGACACTTAAAATTAGGCCCTTAAGAAAAATTCATGTTAAAGTGCAGTTATTTCATAAAGAACAACAAGAACAAATCTCATCCTAAAAATCACAGTCGTGACAATGACAGAAAGACAATGATTTGCACTGATTTTAAAAACTGGCTGACCACAAAAATATACCCAAGTATTGCTTTTGGTATTAACATTCATTCGAAAAATTCAAATTTCTTGACACCTTCCTTCAGGTAGCCCTTTATGGACTGTAAGCAGCTGTTAATAAAAAAATATCTAGAACTGTGATCCTTCAATAGAATGGTCACTAAGTACTTTTGGCTACTGAGCATTTGAAACATGGCTAGTATAAAACAAGATGTGCTGCAAGTTTAAAACACACAGACTTAGTATGGAAAACCAGTAAAATATCTAACAGTTTTTATATTGATTACATGATGAAATGATAATACATTAGATATACTGGGTTATATGAAATAATCATTTAAATTAATTTTGCTTTTTTTTGACTCTTTGAATGTGGCAAATTATATAGAAAGTTTACAGTTGTATGCGTAGCTCACATCCTATTTCTATTTGACAGTGCTGACCTAGACCATTATCCACGAACAGCAAATACATTGTTTTCTATTCCGTGGCACTTATTTATTTTTATATATATATTTATTCATTTTTAACTGATTGATGATTGTTTTGCAATACTGGTTTGATTTCTGTCATACATCCACATCATGGCACTTATTTCTGACTGGTTTTAAGACCTTCCTAAACCATATGACCTGTTTATTGATATAATGTAGACCCTATGAGGAAACAGATGCAAGCATGTCAGAAAAAAGAAAAAGGGTTAAAAATCCTTACACTCAAAGAGAATTACTTTATATAGTCACCAAAACACTGCTCTATCTCCAGGAAAATTCTGCATGATTCTAAGATTTCAATGGGGCTAACATCTCTCTGTACTATTAAAGGGGTAAAAGGAGTTATCAGTTTACTATACCTTCTTGAAGTTGTTTAGGAGAGTGGTTTTTGGCATTATTAGTCAGAAGCATTCTCCTTAACAAGGCATCTGTCCCTGTGATTTCCTCTTCACAGATCCAATCATCCACGATGCATAAATGTGGGTAATTGGTTGCAAGGAGACGGAGTAAAGCAGAATGCAACCCTTGAAAATGTACAAGACGTCAATTGGATTCCTCATTCTTAAACATCAAAATCTCTTTTCTCTCTCCCCTTTCTCTTCTCCCTTTCATTTTCCACCAGCCAAAGGAATCCGCACTTTTTACACATGCACACTACAGTTTGAGAACTTCTATTCAGTACTTCAGTCAGGGACTTTGCTTAAATCAAGATCCGCAGTTGAACTGATACAAAAGAAGCTGGAAACCACTACTTATCAAAAGTTCTCAAGCTCTCTTCCATCCTATTCCAGCATAAAAGCAGCAGTAGCTCAAGAGTTGAGTGGGCTATTAAAAAAAACAAAAAGAGTTGAGTGGGGAGGAAAAAAGAGAAGGGAAAAAAAGGTTCATTTGGGAAAGATCACATATGGTTTGAAAAAGGCCTCACTCAGAAATTCTGATAGACTTCTACAAGAGAACACATCTGCTCCTCCAACCCAGTTGAGAGTTGAGAATCATTGCTATACATGGGTAAAATTAAAGGTACCCAACTTGAGTGCCTAAATGTACACTTTATGTACATTTTCTCATTTCACCCTAACATTCCTACAAGGTAAGCAGCATCGTCACTGTTCTACTCTAAGGAAATAGGCAGAAAGATATTTATACAACCCAAGCAGTACTGATGATACCCACAAGAGGGTGCAATTGTCTTCTTTTAAGAAGAGTTAGGAAGCTCAGAAGCATTGGGACCTCCTTTAACTAAATCTAAGTCTTATTTCTAAACCTGCTTATAGTATAGCTTGACTACTCATTATTATTACTGTATAACATCAGCAATGAAAAAACAAATGATGATAATGTCTATTTAGATAGATGAAGTACTATGTTATTTACCTAATAAATGTTGTTGTTACTATACAATTATCATCATCATCTCTCAGATGCGAGCGCCAGCAATGAGTATCAGCAGTAATAAAAGTACTTTAGATTTGATCACCCACTTACTATGCAACTTAGATCAAATCAAACCACTGCTTAGTCCCAAAAGGGATAAGTATCTACTGCCTTTCCCATAGAAACTGCTTAAAATAAATATTTCTGTGAAAAAGACACTGTAACAATCACAAGTAGTATTATTTAAAAGTTTAAATGCACAAATATATATAGTCAGGACGGTCACAAAAATGACTGCTTATAATAGTACAAATTAGTCTACATTACATAATCCCTTTATTAGTGGCAACATTAGTTACCAAATGCTGCAAAATATAACATCACTTCTCTGAAAAGAGATTAAGCAAAGATATAAATAAATGCAGACATCTGGCTAAAGAAGACCAAAGAAAGTTCATGTTTACCCTTGAAATCAACCATAATAAAGACAGAAAATCTGAGCTTCAAAGAAACAAAATCAAAGAGAAAAAAAATCCATACATTATAAAAAGCTGTTAAATTAAGAAAAAAATTGAATTTCAAAAATATTACTATATCTCCACTTGACAGTATTACAGTAAAAGTATTATAGTAATTTCATGCTATGGCATGTTATGTAGCAATTAAAAACAATAATGTAGATCTACATGTAGTAATATGATTATGATAAGATCTCCAAGACTTCAAGAGAAAAAAGCAAGTCTCAGAAGAAATACAGTATGATATCATTTAGAGCTTAAAAAAAGATTTTTTTACGTGTGTGTTTCTATTAGCTTCAACCACATGAAACTGCATTTTCAGAGGTCAAAAATAGTTGAATACCTGTAATCTCATATGGTTCAATCTGTAGAAAAGAACATGTGAAACTGCATACCAAAAGGAAATAGCTAGAGCCTCGGGGGTGGGAAGTAGTTTTCAGGCAGTAAGATAGCGAGGAAAGTAAAGAGAAATTCGCTCTTAAATTGCATGTTTAGCTTTGAGCACCTATTACACTATCATCTTCCATACTGTAGGTATTTCTTACCTATTGTATAGCACATGGATCTCTGCTCAGTGTTATGTGCCAGCCAGGATGGGAGGGGCGTTTGGGGGAGAATGGACACATGCGTATGTATGGCTGAGCCCCTTCACTGTTCACCTAAAACTATCACATTGCTAATTGGCTATACCCCAATATAAAATGTTTTTGGTGCTAAATAAAAATTTAAATTTAAAAAAAGTAGGTATTTTTTACCAATAAACATTACCAGTAAAAAGCAAACAAAACAAATACCTCCCAACTCCTGCTGAAGTCCTTGAGCCTGTCGAATAAGGAATTTGATAGGAATCTGATCCATTAAAGAAGATGAATATGATTTGGGTTTTCTTTGCATGGCAGCTGTCAGTCAAAAATAAAGAAATATAAGATATAACATCAGAAACAACATGAATCTTAACCTTCAACACAAACAGGAACAAACACAATGTCAAATTACTCTTAATTCACTTAATCTGTGAATATAGCTCATAAAAGATAAAGAATCACTACCAAAGTAGTGAATACATATGACGAGCAAGAACATACTTCAAGGCAAGATCTGGAAAATGCCCTGAAACTGAAACCAGTGGGAAGAAAAATCATGAGGGAGAGAAGCCACCTGCAGAAGTGCCCAACTCTTAAAAAAATAGAAAAGAAACTCCCCCAAACCTAATTAGGAAGACAAATGCAGTCATGACCACATGGCTTAAAATTTCATGATGCCAACAGCCTTAATCATATTATCTATTAGTGGTGACTGACTCTTTCTGAAGAAAGTTGGGAAATATGAATGACTTTCTTCTCCTACAACTTCTACCTTCAACTAACAAATCCATTTTTTTAAGCAAATCCATCTTAATTTCTATTCTTTTTCTGCTATCCTAATTCAATACCTACTCATTATTTATTTAAATAACTATTATGGTTCAATTTTCAATTTTCCAGACTCCAATTCCTCTTCTTTTTGAACCATCCTTCACACTGGTGCCACAGTCTTATTTAAATTCAGATTTGGCCAGATCATGTGTCTCTGGATCCATGCTCAAATATCTGGATCCATGGATTTCCAGATCCCCAGGGTAAAGGTCCTTGCCAATCAATGCTTTCTGTCTCATCTCCACCATATGCTATATGCCTGACACCCTCATCTTACTTATTCCAAGCTGTTTTGCAGGTACAACAGAACTTATGAGCATCTCAACCAGGCTATCCACAGTTTGAAAAACCATATCCTATATACTTATTCTTTTCCAAACACAAACCACATAATGTAAAGCTCAACAAAATTTTATTGATTGAAGTTAAGAAGTATATGAGTGCAAGTGTTAGAATACGGGTTGAGAATCGTTGCCTAAATAGACGATACACCTCTTGGTTGGACATGATACCCCTTGCCAGGTCAGTGAATTAGCATCCCAGTTTTCCACACCAATCTTTTATGAACTGGGTAAGAATGTATATAAAAACACAGTTTACAAAAACATAGCTTCTAGTACAATCAAATTCTGGTTCCAACACTATCCAAACTGGAAAGGAAGAAGTAAAACTGCCACTATTTGCAGATATGGCATTATAGAAAAATCTTAAAGATTCTATCAAAAAACTGTTAGAAATTTAAAAAAAAAAAGTGGTAAAAATGACAAATATCTCAGCCCACAAATGTGTAAATGACTCTCATGCAAATGCTGAGGTGAATGAACACTTGGGGTTTCCATAGTAAGATGAGGGGTCAGCATTCAAGGAGCACCTTATGGTATATGGCTTTGTGCCTCAACTGAAGTGAAAAAGTGAAGTCGCTGAGACATGTCCGACTCTCTGCGACCCCACGGACTGTAGCCGGCCAGGCTCCTCCGTCCGTGGGATCTTCCAGGCAAGAGTACCAGAGTGGGTTGTCATTTCCTTCTCCAAATAATTTCCTAAAGAATGAAGTAGAGTTGGCTGGTAAAAGAGCAGCTGAGGAGCCTTTTCTGGACATCAAACTTCCGTCAAGGTAACAAGAATTAAGAAAAGAAAAGAAAAAAGGAAAAAAATACTGTGGAAACTAATAAACAAATTCAGTAGGGTTGCAAGATACCAAATTAAATACACAAAAATCTCCTGCATTTCTATAGACCAATAACAATCAGAAAGAAAAATTACATTGCCCCTAGCTTTGTAACATTTTAATCCTTAAAACATTCCTATGGAAAACTAATTCACTTATGAAATTAGTGTAAACTAATACTAAAGCCAGGAAAAAAAGAAGTGAAGAGTAAAAAGGCCTATTCCACTTGCTTAAACACAGATGGAAAAAAATCATATAAAAAAAAAAAAAAAGACAAATCATGTTAAAAGAATAATATACCCAAAGCAAGTAGGGCCCACTCCAGAAATATAGATATCAATTATAAAACAAATTATATAAATAGACCAAATTATCTCAGTAACTGCTGAAAAAGTATTCCCTTGATAAATTCTTTTTAAATGGTACTCTAAGAAATTCAGAGTCTGACTAACCCAAAGTAAATGTCTATACCTTCCTTGTAACTAGCAATAACTTAAGAAAAAATTATACAAAGTCTATACAAAGTAAAGTTTAATTGACATAAAAAAATAATTTGAATAAATCCACACATTCAAAAACATGTATTAAGTGATTACTACAGAGTAATTACTATCAAGTAATATTCTAAATGAGTAAGTGAAAGTCACTCAGTCGTGTCCAACTCAATGACACAGTAGCAAAAAAAAATAAAAATTGGCCTTCATGAATCTTACATTTTAATAATTTAAAGGAAAAATTCAGGGAATTCCCTGGCAGTCCAGTGGTTAGGACTCAGGGCTTTTACTGCTGGGAAGATGGGTTTGACCCCGGGTTAGGGAACTAAGATCTTGTAAGCCGCACAGCTGACCAAAAAGAAGTCTTTAAAAAAATTATTTCATATTCCTAGCTGGAAAGACTTAATATTGTAAAGATGTAAATTCTCTCCAAATTAATTTCTAGCATAACATAATTCTAACCAAAACCCATATATAATTGTCTTCTACAGAATTTGACAAAATCTTATAGAGTTTATGTGCAAGATTATATATGTGAAAATGGACAGAAATACTGAACAAGAACAATAATTGTGAAAGGGACTGGAAATCCCTAACACTAAAAAAAAAAAAAAAAACCCAGACATAGGTTTGTAATAAAACTTCTATATACATCAGAGCAACTTTCCAAATTAATAGGAAAATGACAGGTTATTCGCTTTGTGATGTTGACAAATAGCCAATTATTTAAAAACGACAACTAGGGGCTTCCCTGGTGGCTCAGTGGTAAAGAATCTACCTGCCAATGCAGGAGACGAGAGTTTGATCCCTGATCCAGGAAGATCACACAGGCCACGGAGTAACTAAGCCTGTGCGTGACTACTGAACCCAAGTCCCCTAGAGCCCCACGCTCGGCAATAAGACAAGCTGTAACAATGAGAAACCCTCACACTGCAACTAGAGTGGCCCCTGCTCCTCGCAACAAGAGAAAAAGCCCATGCAGCAGCAATGAAGACCCAGCACAACCAAATATAAATAAAGAAATACATAAAATGAAACAAATTAAAAATAAATAAATAAAAATTTTTAAAAAAGAAACAAAAAATTTTTTTAAACTGAATCTGCATCCCACGTATGTGTGCTCAGTCGTGTCCAACTCTTTGCGACCCCATGGACTGCAGCCTGCCAGGCTCCTCTGTTTATGGGATTCTCCAGGCAAGAGTACTGGAGAGGGTTCCTGTGCCCTCCCCCCAGGGGATCTTTCCCACCCAGGGCTGAACCCACATCTCTGTCTCCTGTATGGTCAGGCAGAGTCTTTACAACTGGGCCACCTGGGAAGCCAGTCTGTATGACATACTTGATAACTTCATGAATCCTACATTTTAATAACTTTAAAAGAAAAAAATATTTCAGGGAATTCCCTGGTGGTCCAGTAGTTAGAACTCAGGGCCTTTACTGCTGGGGAGGTGGGCATACATAAATTAATTAAAGGCATATGTAAATTTTAAAAATGAAATAATGTCCTAAAAGAAAATGTAAGTGATTAGTCATATAATGTTAGTACCTTACTTTCAAAGAGTCTCCTCTCCACAGAATTCTATAATCAAAATACACCATAAATAAATGATAACACTCAACTGCTATCATTGTGAATGCAAAAAAATTGGTACTCACATCGTATACAAATGTCTTATACATATGTCTTCTACAAAATGTCTATAATGGTAAAAACTATCTGGAAAACAGTATGACAATTCATTTTTCAAATATTGGAATTCAAAAATCTTTGATTTAGTAGTTCTGTCCTAAAGAAATAAATAAGTATATCTGTATACAGAGTTAGCTCTAAGGATATTCATTCTGCCAGTCTCTGTAACGGCAAAATGTAGAAACAATCTCCAACAATAAAGTATTTTTTAAGTAATGGTACATATTTATGAAGAAATATTATACAGCTATTAAAAAATAAATATTATACAGCTATTAAAAATCATGTTTCAAAAAATGTACTATAATAGGCCAAATGCTTAAAGTGTAGTCTTAAGTAAAAAGGGTAGATTAAAAATTTATGATTCCAAACTTTATGAAAGTTACCACACATGCAAAGACTGAAGGGTTTTTTTTTCTAGCAAAATTCTGTGGTGATTATCTCTGGGCAGTAGAATTATGGGTGGTTTATACTCTGGTCTTTGTACTTTTCTCACTTCCTCAATTTTCTTCAGTAAAACACTCTTTTAATAAATATTTTTCTTTTAAAAAACAGTTCTTTCGCATTAAGTAAGACAGGTAAGCGATTAGGTAAGCAATTAGATAAATAATGAAATAAGTTTAAAATTCTTATACTTTTACTCCACAGGATGATCATATGACTGTTAGAAGCTTTTTTGGTCAAATTCGATTTTATAGTACTGAAACTTCAAGCTGCCAAGAAATAACATCTGTCAGTGTCTGCTTAAAGGTTTCTACATTTTGAAAGAGGCAGGTGGAGTTAACTTCCTTCTGGGAAGACAATAATTAACTATCAAGTGCAAAGAAAAACTTCAAGTGCAGGAATTTAGAGCCAATGAACATTACAGTTTCCCAAGTATCACAGGATAGGTCTTGTTCTGCTGATGACAAAGAAGGAAATTTCATATGAAACAGGATAGAAGCAGAAAAAGCAGCCAGAGCTTGTTTTTAAATGAAGATAAGGGGCTTCCCTAGTGGCTGAGTGGTGAAGAATCCAGCTAACAATGCAGGAGGCATGGGTTCAATCCCTGCTCCAGGAAGATCCCACAGGCCATGGAGCAACTAAGCCCATGCACCACGACCTATTGAGCCTGTGCTCCAGAGCCCGGGAGCCACGGTGACTGAGCCCACGTGCCTGGGAATCTGCACTCCGCCACACGAGAAGCCGCAGCAATGAGAAGCCCATGCACCGAAACAAAGAGCAGTCCCCGCTGCCCAGCTAGAGAAAGTGGGCGGGCAGCAGTCCACAAATATACTTTAAATAGGCTTCCCTGATAGTCGGCTGGTAAAGAATCCGCCTGCAATGCAGGAGACCTGGGTTCGATCCCTGGGTTGGGAAGATCCCCTGGAGAAGGGAACAACTACCCACTCCAGCATCCTTGCCTGGAGAATCCCATGAAGAGAGGAGCCTGGCGGGCTACAGTCTGTGGGGTTGCAAAGAGTCGGACACGACTGAGTGACTAAACACACAATATATGCACTTGTATTACAAATATTTTTAAACAAATCAAAAATATGCATATGTGAAAAAATATGTGTGTAAACACCTTTTTTTAATGACTATGATATTCTTATACTTGGCTCTATCTCAGATGTTGGAATTCTGTATTTGAGCTTCAACAGCTACTTGGTGCCTGCTAATAATGTTTATTATAAAGCTCAAAACCACAGACCAGTGAACAAGGTACCAAAACAACACAACTTCGTAGGGAGGAATAAATTTGAAGCAGAATATTCATCATTTTTGGATGTGGAAGAGAGAACTTCTGTCATGTTATGACATATTCTGCAGTTAACTTATTCCTTTGGACTAAGAAACTAGGCTAGAAAAAAAAATTTCTTCAGCTATGGGAAAAAAGTTCTCCAAGGAAAGCTCAATTTCCATTTGTCTTCCACACCCGGTCTCCTCTCACCTATCAAGGACATCCCTCTAGGGATTCTCTTGTAAAGCTTCCCTCTCTACAAGATTACTTCCAACAGCATACAACATCCTCTTAACTCTTTCACCTTAAAAAAAATAAAAAGTCCTCTCTTGATCTCATTTTCCTCTCCAATTACCACATTCATTTCCCTCCTTCTCTTTACAACTTTTCAAAAGAACTGTCTGTACTCACTGTGTTCAGTATTATCTCCTCTAATTTGCTTTTGAGTTTACTAAAATCAGGCTTGAATTCTGAAAAAAAAAAAAACTGTAAAGGTCAAAGGACCTCTAGCAAGCTAAACCTGATCATCAGCTGAGCCTAAGTCCTAACCTTACTTGATCCATCACCATCATTTGACACAAATGATCTCACTCTCCTTTTTAAAGCATTCTTCTCTTGGCATGCAGAACATCACAGCCCCAAGTCTCCTTCCACACCTTCTCTCTTGGTAATCCTACTTAATATCATGATTATAAATATCATACATATGCTGAAGAATCTCAATGCTTCAGTCCAGGTTTATCTCATCTAAATTCCAGTCCAGCATTTACAACTGTTTTCAAGACATCCCCACTTCATCAGATATCTCAAACTTGGTATGTCCCAAACCAGCTCCTGATTGCCCACAAACCTGCTATTTATTTCAGTAGATAGCCATTGTATAGCTCAGGCCAAAGGCCTCCACATCAACCTTGGCTCCTGTCTCTCAATTCTAATTAATTCATCAGCAAAACTTCTCAGCTCTACCTTAAATATATATACACTGCTACCAGTCCAAGCCACCATCTTTTGCCTATAATCTTGGAAAAACCTAATCGTTTTGTTGTTCAGTCGCTAAGCCGTGTCCAACTCTTGGAGTGCCATGGACTAGAGCCCGCCAGGTTCCTCTGTCCATGGGATTTCTCAAGCAAGAATACTGGAGTGGGTTGCCATTTCCTTCTCCAGGGGATCTTCCTGACCCAGGGACCAAACCCACCTCTCCTGCGCTGCAGGTGGACTCCTGCGCTGCAGGCAGATTCTTACTGCAAAGCCACCAGGGAAGACCAAGAGAAACCTAGGAACTTTTCTACAATCTCCCAGTTCCTTTGCGAAGACTCAGTCCAGGCTAAACTGTACACTAAACCTGAAATTCTTGACTTTCCAACTAAGATCCGTCAGACTACTGCATAAGGAACAGCAGCTTCACCTGAACACAGGGTTGAACTGAGCATGTCACTGGGGACTGGGATGCATAATCTCTAAAGATTCTTCCAGTCTTAAAAATTCTGAGTGATTTGTTAATTCTGCATGGTGTATACATAAAAATGGGCTATACTAGTCTCTAAACTTTCCTATATTTTTTGCTAAACATTACTTTAAATAAAAACTAAGAGTGTATCTTGGACCCCTACTACAGTATTCATGGTCTGAGTTCTCCCCAGAATATCTCCTTGTAACTCATTCCTCTAGTATCTATTAAATCACAAGTGTCATATCCCTAACAGAATTCATTGCATGTGGATAAAAGTGGGAGACTATTACCTAATGCTTATTATTAGCCCATCTTGTCCCTCAAATGACAAAGACTATAATTATAGTTGTGGGTTGTCATCTGTATATTCCTAACAAATGTAGGCAGGAAAGAAAGCTGCTGAGAAATTCACAGTATATTTAAAACACAATACTCCATATAAATGAAAGAAACTCATCTGCTACACACTGAAAAGTAACTTTAATTTATAGCTTTCAAAAAGTAAAACTGCTCAGCCATGACAAAATACAATGCCTTAAAAGAATTCTCTCTGCATTATAACACTCAATGCCTGTGACATTTTTAAATTTACTTTTTCTTGGAGTATAGTTATGTCACGTTAGTTTCTACTGTTCAAAGTGGGTCAACTATTCGTATACGTGTATCTCCTCTTTTCTGGATTTCTTCCCCATTTAGGTGGCCAAAGAGCACAGAGTAGGGTTCCCTGTGCAATACAGCAGGTTCTCATTAGTCACCGGTTTCACACACAGTATCAGCAGTGTGAATGCGTCATTCCCCGTCTCCCAGTTCTTCCCAACACCCTCCTCTACCCCCTTGGTGTCTATGTGCTTGTTCTCGACGTCTGTGTCTCTGTTTCTCTTTTGCAAATAAGATCATCTATACCACGCCTATTACTGTTCAATGATACTTTTTATTTGAATATGGAACTTCATACATTTGCTGTTGTTGCTGTTCAGTCACTAAATCATGTCTGACTCTTTGCAACTCCATGGACTGCGGAACACCAGGCTCCTCTGTTCTCTACTACCTCCCGGAGTTTGCTCAAATTCACATCCATTGAGACGGTGATGCTATCTAACCATCTCAGCCTCTGCCGCCCCCTTCTCTGTCTGTCTTCAGTCTTACATTTAGCAAGCCAAAATACAGGTGAATTTTCTTTTTCACATAGAGGAAAACATACTACTTTATACTAATATTATCTATACTAAATCTGACCTTCTGATATTATACAAAGCACCTAAGTTTGAAAGCCTAGTTCAGTGATAACATTAATGGCAAAGGAAATCCTTTTGTTGGTTTTTTTTCCTACTACTTTGATTAGACTGTTACTCTTCATACTAATGGAAGGAAAAGTAGGAAAAAGGTTGAAATCAAGCAAAAAATCTTCAATTTCAGTACCGACAGGTTTATGTCTTAATTTACCTTTAGTCAATAAGGTCACTAACATTGTTAAAATACAAACAACTCAGTTAATCATTAATTCAGCCTGCTAAAAGGAGCACTGGGCCGTAAGGAGTGATTACAAGCCCACACACACAGGTACTTATGCACCAAAGTATGAGAACTTAACATTGCGAAGACTGCAGAAAGATGCTGGAGCCTGTTGGAATATCTGATCTTCTTTTCTCCAATAGCAGCCTGGAAAGTAACAAAATATAAGCAAATAAGATGAACTATCACCAGAAACACGAGCCTCTGCACAACTTACCTAAAGTCTTGGTGTTTGCTAGGAGAGCTTCTTCATAAGACAGAATATAATAAAGCACCAAGAGCTGTGCTGTGATACTGAAACGCTGATTAAGGCGGATGTTGTCACCCTGGAGGTAATATTATAAACACTTTAAAATACTGTTAAATTTCATAAGTGCTTTTTTTTCCCCTTTGGCCACAACAGGCAGTATGTGGGATCTTGGTTCTCCAACCAGGAATAAAACTCCTGCCCCCTGCATTGGCAGCACAGAGTCTAAACCACTGGACCACCAGGGAAGTTCCAATGAGTACTTTTTGACAGTAAAAGCACTCAAAATAGATTATTTGGTGTTGCTGCTCCCAAACTTAAAGAAATTGGGAGAAATGTTGCTGTGTCCACATTAAACTCAAATCGACAACGTGAAGTTTAAGTTAAATCTGAGACGGCTTGAGAGATAAAAGGAACATGTTGAACAGTTTTTAAAGTTCCCTGGTGGCTCAGACAGTAAAGTGTCTGCCTGCAATGAGGGAGACCTGGGTTCAATTCCCAGGTGGGGAAGATCCCCTGGAGAAGGAAATGGCAACCCACTCCAGTATTCTTGCCTGAAAAATCCCATGAACGGAGGAGCCTTGTAGGCTATAGTCTATGGGGTCACAAAGAGTCGGACACGACTGAGCGACTTCACAGTTTTTAAGATAGGGCTGCTTCTGGAAAAAGTTTACATTTATAGGAATCTGAAGTACTATCTGAAATTACCATGAAGAAAATAATTCCTAAAAAAAAGATACTTTTTTGGAGAAAAAAAGATTTACTCCAAATTTCCATAAATAATCTAGGTATATCTTAAATTCTCAGGAAGCTCGTAAAATATGTTGAAATGTCACATAATCCTCTGTTAAACACACAACCTCCAGGGCACTCCTTAAACTTTAAAATGGAGCTTTTGAAAGAATTCTTCAAAAAGTGCCTAATCAACATAGAACTAATACCATTCTTTTAATATTCATAAGTGATCTAAAGAACTGAATACCATTTTAAATAATAATCTGGGAAAAAATGTGGAGTGTGAACAACACAAAAGAAAAATGAACTAATAAATGTTAAAAAAAAAAAAAAAACACACTATTTTACCCCAATGACTCCTTGAAAAATATTGAGTATCTCCTGTTCTGTGACCGGCTGATTTGTGGCTTCTGGATTAGATTTAGATGCAGGAGTAAGTATAGAATTTATGTACACATCAATCAGAGGAAGTAATTGAGGATGGAGTGGAATGGAGGTTTCACAGAGCTGTCTATAAATCCAGTCCTAGAAAAGAAAGTGACAGGCACTAAATTAATTACGGCAATAAGAAAAAGCAAGCAAAATTTTACAAGCACATATAATTTTACATGATTTATGAAAAAGTAAAACTCACTATTAACTTTTAGCAGTTGCTAAATAATATCAGCCAGTTTCATAACTGCCTTTGATTTGAAAATGGAAACAATTTTTCTTTCCTAAAATTGAGAATATTATTCCATGGAAGATAAACCTAAAAATGACAGCTTGAGTTTAGAGTTTGGACTTCGGGTTTTTAATCTATTGGTTTTTAAGTAGTGGGGAAAACACTATAAGTCCCTTCTGTGTCTGTATTTAGAGCACCATACATGCTGCTGTAACAGACCCCACAGCAGAAAGGCATTTAGGGAGAGGAACAGTTTCTCACAACAAACCTCAGACAGATTAAGAAAGTGGCTTTGACAACCACATATGGGAGATTAACTATCTGCACAAATACAGGCCAAGAAGAAACACTGGGGGTGCATTTGGACTCTTAATTCTTCTTTACTTCACTTGCAAAAAATATAAAAAGCAGAAGATACAATCAAGATGGAAAACAACTTCACTACATCATAAAAACAAGGACAATCAAATGTGATATAGCAATGCATATGTTGTTCAGGGTTCTTTATAAATAAAATAGCCTCTTAGAAAGGGTTCAAACAAATTTTTTTCTTTTTTAACCTCCTGTGGATTCAGCCTTTTCTCTAGAGAACCTATTTGCTATAGCCAATTATATAACAAATTGAAAACATGTCAAAATATGTGCAAGTTTAATGTTAGAAGACCTTGTGACAAATGGACTACAAATACTGGTCATGGCTAACCAGCAATCTTCTGAGTTTGGTAAACAAAATCAAGTATAAAGAATGGAAATTTCTTACTAAAGTTTAATGAAATTGCTAAATATCATTGAGAATTTAAAAGGAATTAGTACCACTGTACATTTTGTAAATTAACTGAACAGTTATGCTGTTTTAAAAATCTGAAATTAACAGCCTAATTACTATAACTATATAACTAAAAACATTTCACATACAAAATCCACAGTAAAGGTCTGCAAACTCAAACAGAACTGGGAAAAAACATTAACTCAGATTTTAGCTTGAAGAATAAATGTAAGATCATACTTTTATTGATACTTTGTGTTTGGTGAAGGAACGACTCCTCAGAAGCTGGTAAATGCAATGAATAGGCAAAAATCCAGTAATGTTGGCACTCAGGTTGCTGGTGACAGGGACTCGAACTGCATGAGCTGTGACAACCTAAAAGGGAAAAATAGTAGCAATACATATCACAGAACCAGATACAAAATTATTCTGAAAGAGGGAGAATTGATGGTGGACTATCAATACTAATGGGGTCCTTTGGCGGGAGTGACAAAAACCAATCATGACATGATTTAATTATTTTGAGTAATGAGGTACCATCACACATCTGGGAATTTGTAAAGTTCTCTACTTTTTAAAAATTTACTTCTAAACACAGATACATTTCCAGGGGTTAGAGTAAAGTTAAAAAATATGTAAAATCTGGAATCATAAAATCTGGGCTCAATGACTATAATATATAAAACAGATAAACAACAAGGATTTACCATATAGAACAGAGAACTACATTTAATATAATAAACTATAATAGAAAAGAATCTTAAAAGAGGGAGGGGACGTATGTATACGTATGGCTGATTCATGTTGATGTTTGGCAGAAACCAACACAATTCTGTAATTATCTTTCAATTAAAAAATAAATAAGAATATAAATATATATATATACACACACATATATATGTATAACTGAATCACTTTCTTGTATATCTGAAACTAAAATAATACTGTAGATCACCTATGCTTTAATTTTTTTTTTTTTAAAGGAAAAAAAAAAGAATAGTTTCCATCATTGAAAAAATAAAATATCATTAGGATTATCCATGGACAAAAGAGACCAAATAAGAACAAGTCAATAAAAGAATAAGGAACTTAGACTCTAGTTTATAACTTAGTTAGACACAGCACCTTACAGCTGAAAGGTTTAAACAGATTCTCCTGACAATCCTAATTGTCAGTAAACTTCCCTGGTAGCTCAGATAAAGAATCTGCCTGCAATGCAGGAGATCCGGTTTGATCCCTGGATCAGGAAGACTCCCCTGGAGAAGAGAATGGCTACTCACTCTAGTATCTGGCCTGGAGAATTCCATGAGAGAAGCCTGATAGGTACAGTGCATGGGTTGGCAAACAGTCGGACACGGCTCAACCACTAACGCTTTCACCCTAGGTAAAATCCCTGTCAACAGTGTCTAAGACTACATTCTTAAGCATCTACTCAAAGTCTCCAAACTAAGCAAATTTACTTAGCACATGCTTTTCTATGTAGTAAATAGCTTTGAAAACAAATTTGAAATACAATTTTTCTTTACAGAAGTTTCAAAGATTAAATAAATCATCACTGGAAACTAAAAAGGAATATAAAGACTATATTAGTCTCTTAAACTGAAACATACACAAGTTTTCTCACAAGGAATGTTATAAAATAAAGGTAAAGAAGCGCCTAAGATAATAGTTAAAAGAAGTACCTGCTCAGTAAAAATTTCCTGTGTGAAGACAGTCTTCATCCTGCTCAAGGAGCTTGGCTTAATTACAATCTAAAACAACCAAAACACAACACTGTAAAGCGATTATATTCCAATAAAAACAAAGAAAAGAAAGGCTCTTTTTTACAAAAGAAAAAAATACAAAATAAAGCAACCAAAAGATTTCAGCAGGTGAAAATAAAATATAGGAAGCACAATTTGACTTAACGTTCAAATACTCTATTTCAGAAGTAGCTTCTCAAATCTAACACTAAAATGTGTTTTTCCTCAGGAACCAAATATGAAAGTACTTAGTGGGATTTCCCTTGTGATCCAGTGGCTAGACTCTGAGCTCCCAATGCAAGGGGCCCAGGTTCGATCCCTCATCAGAAAACTAAATCTCGTATACCACAAGATATGGTACAGCCAAATAAATAAAAAAATTTTTAAAGTACTCAGTAAACATATCATTACTACATTTTAAGTCAGTGGGAAGAAGTGGATTATTTAATAAATGGAGGTGGGATAGCTCTCTTTCTGGATAATACAAATCAAGATTTGCATATGACATCATACCCCATATTAACTCCAAATGTATTAAAGATTTAAATGTAAAACATGAGGCCACAAAAACACCAGAAGAAAATATAGGTGATCATTTCTATTAACCTGAGGAAAGAAAAGCACTTCTAAGCATAATAACAAAATAAGAACCACAAAAGAAATACTTAACATATAACACACATAGAAAATAATAATTTTCACATGGCAGAAAAAACTGGGAAAAATCATCTGCAACATATTACACTTTTCCATCTTTAAGACAATAAGGATTATAATATGCACCACTGATTTAACAGTAGCTTTTCAAGTAAATAAAGAAGGGCAAACACTATCACACTAATATTATGCATCAACTATAAAATGAATCCAAGTTTCAATATATGGTAAAATATGTGTCTTGAATCAATGAAACATGATATACAAGGCATAACAGCATATCATTTATATATAAAGAGCACTTCCGAATCAGTAAAAGGAAAAATAAATCAATAAAAATCCCTATAGAAAAACTGGGACATCAATAAACCTTTTATAAAAGAAATAAACCAACTAAAACACATATATTATTTAAAAGTAACCAAAAAAAACCTCTAAACCATAACGATTAAAAATAATAACTAGTAATCAAAGAGATGCAAAATAAGACCATTTTTCATCAAATTTGCAAAGATTAAAAAGAATGGTAATGCCCAGTGATGATGAGAAGTTAGGGAAATATGCACTGTCATTCACTAACGAGAACAGTTAAACTGGTATAATCTTTCTGGAAAATAATCTGACAATATTTATCAAACATCTTAACATCATCATACTTTTACTTAGCACTGCTTTCTATAACTTTATCCTAAGGAAGTAATCCAAAAAGTGTTTGAAAATATACATGTATGGTTGCCTTTGTGTATATTTACATATATAGGATATTCATCTAAGCATTATTCAGAAATTAGAAAATCTACATGGCAAGTAAAGCAACCATTAAAAATGTCATGATCAGCCCACACAATAACTGCAATGCAGCCACTGAAAATTATGTTGTATCAGAATATTTATTGATATGAAGAAGTGCTCATTATATATTGGTAAGTTCATTAAAACCACTATATATATATATCAATATAAAGAAAGAACAGACACCTAACTATTAATAGTACTTGACATCTCTGAACATGGAGTTATAGCTTTCCCTTCTTTACTGTGTTTTCTAAGTTTTCTACATAGAACATCTATTATTCTCGTAAATAACGTTTACATAACGTATTTTTTTAGAGAGCTCCTGATAAAGTTTCAAACTATTAAACAACTAAAATTACTTCAAAATGAAAACAACCTATTTACTTAACATTACAAGAAAATGTCCAGCTTAGAAACACCTTCTTTAGAAAGACAATAAGAGGAAATTACCTTCATTCCCAAAGTGGAACAGACCAAATCAATGATAGCACTGAGCTGGTTGCTATGAAAGTACATAGCGACCAATAATAACATCTCCCCAAAAGAAGCAGAGACGCCTGAAGTACTGTTGAAACAGAAAAGAAAACATGAATTTCCAAAGGAAGGTTAAGAAAACTTACTCAGCTATCTGATACAAATGAAGTCATCTTACCTTTCAAAATAAGCTTCTTCTTTGATCATCCAGCTTAGCCATACTACCATCAGCTGCTCCTGTTCAGGAGTACTGTTAATTTAGAAAAAATATCAGAAGTCACTGGTCTAAATCAGATGTACTAGCGTAAGAATAAACAAGCATTCTGGAATTATCTTTGGTGGAAATTATTTTTTCCTCAAATTACTTGCTTGTTGAATTGGCCATTCATTATCATTGAGATATGTAGTAGTTCTAGAGAAGAACAGAGGACCATAACTTTTTCTCCATTAATATAAACAGCCAAACCCTCTCAAAGTCTCAGTTACTACTTTTGCAGGTTGGAGAGAATAAACTTCCTCACATTCCTTAGAAAAACAAAGGTTCTCTGGGATTAAAATGTTAGAAGAACTAACAGATGATACTCATTTCCTATAGAAAAAAATTTATAGTGTTGAAACTTAGTCATTAAAAACTCACAAACTGAGCACGAGGACAGAAGTCAGACCATCTTTTAGTGGGAAATGAAATTTAGTTTGCAGAGGCATTTTGAGCAGAACTCAATATTAGAAGGAAATAAGTGATCACTATTCGAAAAAGTAAAAAGAGACAGCCAGGCGCTAAGCATATATGAAGAATGGTAACAGAAATACATGAACACTGACTTGTTTAAAGCGAATTCCTAGGTTTAGGTTGAAATGCACAGGTCAATTCTGATCTGTAATAGTAATTTTCATTGATCCTCTTCTACTTCACCGCAGTGTAAACAGGAAACATAAAAAACAACCACAAAGCCTGATACCCAAAACTAAGAAAATTTAAAAGGTTATGCTCAACCATACATAAATTACTCTACTTATAAAAGACAATGTTATGTAGTAGAAAGACTACAGCCTTTAGAGTCTGCCAGACCTGACTGGGAATCTCATCTCTGCCAATTACTGTTAGTGTGACCTTGAACAAGAAATTTAAATAGTCTTCTTGTACTTTAGCTCTCCTACCTATAAAATATAAATAAATATACACCCACCTTACAGAAGTAATGAAGATTAGAGATAACGCTTAGAAATTACTTTAGGTATTATATAAGTATGCAACTGAATCACTCTGCTATATACCAGCAACTAACACAACACAGTAAACTGACTATACTTCAGTAAAATAAACTTTTTTAAAACTTTTATTTATTTATTTGGCCACAAAGAATCTTAGTTGTGGCACGTGGGATCTAGTGTCCCAACCAGGGAGCGAACTTGGGCCCCCTGCATTGGGAGTTCAGAGTCTAGCCACTGGATCACAAGGGAAGTCCCAAAAATAAACTTTTTAAAACAAGAAATTACTTCAGGTAAAGAGAAAACACTTCATGTTTTCTTAGTTTCACATATTCCTAAAACACACCACTCAAATTACATTAAAGGGATTTTCTTAAAACACACAAGATGCACAGGATGATGATGAAGGACAACATCACAAAATACTGGAAAGCTGGAGCCAGTGCGGAGGAGGAGGAGTAGCTGACTAAGCAGGCCAGAAAAGCAGAACACTAAACTGGCAGGAGGGAAAACCAACCACCACTCACACCACAGAATCCCCAAAGGGCTCAGGAACTGGCACCTCCAGGCAGTTTTGGGAGTGAGAATGAAGACAGAGACTAAATGCAGACAGTCTGTATAAGCAGTGGCCCGCCCTCCAAACCAACCCTCCATTCTGCCATCCCCCAGCAGAGAGGAAACAAGACTGATTCTCTGGAAAAGGTAAAAGAGGGTACTGCTGAACTGATGGACAACCAGGGCTTTCTGGAGCACTTCTGGAAAGTAGAAGAATTAAGTAAACAACTACAATGCAGGCTGAAATCTCCCAGCCCTTAACCCTCACTTTTTAACTTGGCTTATGGATTTCCTGTCAGGCCTTCGCTCTCAGGCAAGAAAACAGTCTTTTCTAAGACTCTGAAAAGTCCAAGAGCTTCTCATTTATGCATTCAGAAGTTCTAACTTGCCTTTTAGTCTCCTACTCTTAAATATGAACAATCAAGCATTATTAAACCTCTGAGAAAAATAGAGACCAAAAAAAAAAAAAGGGGGGGGGGGGGCAGAAAAAAAAGAAACTTAAAGAAACAGTACAAATAAGATCCCTTCCATCATTATGGGTAATATCAGAGAAACCATAGCACCATGAAGCAGCAGACACTATAAAGAAGAAATAAGAAGAATAAAAATGAGCTCTTAGATGTTAAAAACTAGATGGAAGACAAGATTGAGAAAAAAATCCTAAAAGGTAATATGAGCAATATCTTTTTGAAGTGATTGAAATGTTCTAAAATTAGATTGTGGTAATGGCTGTACAACCTTGTAAATATACTAAAACATATTAAATTGTACACTTTAAACTGGGTGAATTTTATGGTATGTAAACTGTGTCTCAATAATGCTGTTTTTTAAAAAGCAGAACAAAACAAAGATAAGGAAAGTAAGAAAGAATAAGATGATCATTTCAGGAAGCCCAATATCAAAACAAGAGGAGGTTTCAAACAGAGAAATCCATGTGAAAGACAAATTAGTTCACAGACATTTCCTACAACCGACCAATGTGAGTTCCCAGGTTGAAAAGGTTAACTAAATACCTAGGAGAAAGGACAAAAACAGACCCATACAAAAGCACATGACCCAGAAATTTCAAAACCCTAGAAACAAAAAGCTAATCCTTCATGTTCCCATATTTTAAAAAAACAAGTCACAAAAAAAGGACCAGAAATCAGAATGTTACCAGATTCCTCAACAGTAACACTGGAAGTTAGAAGACAATATAGCAAGACTTTCAAAATTCTCAAAGGAAATTATTACCAACTTAGAACTCTATACCCCATCAAACTATCAACCAAGTGTTAAAGTAGAATAAAGACATTTTCAGAAATAGCCCATCCCTAAATAATTTACCTCCTACATACCCACTCTAAGGAAGCAAAATGAGGGAGCAAATGAAAAAAGATGGAGACACAAGATGCAGGAAATAGGAGACCCAACAAAGAAGAGTTAAAGCGAGTCCCCAAAATAATAGTGAAACGCAATTCCAGGATGAGACCTGTGTATCTGGCGCAGAGGCAACCAGTTCAGATGCGAGGGAGTCAAAACGCTTCAGGACAGACTGCCTCAAGAAAACGAAACAAACAGAATAACTAATGAGCCTGAACATCTTGAGAGGAGGGTTAGATTGGCAGAGAGTTTGAAACTGCATTAATCTAAGTACATAAAACACCAAGCAAATGAAAAACAAAGAACAAAAGCAAACAGGACAATTCTTAATGGAAAAACATGTTTTGCATAAGAAAAATAATCATCTACTGCTTGGCTTGGCTGAGCTCCCAAGAGTGTAACACAAATAATAATGTACTGATCAAAGCAAAATAATAACTATGTACAGGGAGAATGGAGAGATACAAAGGATACAGAGAAGGTTGAGGACAGAGAGAAGGAGAACTAATTCCTCATTCTCACAGTGGGACGTCAACGAATACTCCTAAAACAAAAAAATCAGGATGTAGCAAATACAAACATAGTAATAAAGATGTGGGAGTCAAAACCAAAAGAATCACCCAAAAGAACTGAAAGAAGCTGCCTCTAGGGAAGTGGAAAACAGGGCAAAAGGGAATCAGGACTACCATTTGTCTCAAATCTTGAAGAGCTACTTTGAATCCCTTAAATATATGTATATGAAACTTTGGTAAAGACAAACAAAAGAACTGGCATACAGGAGATGCTACTGATACCCTTTTATTAAATAATAATACCAATGTCCATACCTAGATCATTTTTGCAGTAAGTTAACTAATTCTATACATTGTTTTTTAAATAAATAAACAAAAGCAGACCTTGGGAAAATAGAACAACTATACAGTTGGGTACCTGACAAGGGTAGAAAAGGCCAGCAGCATACAAAAGGAGAGTGAAACAAAGCGAACCCCAGCTGGTGTTGCAGGAGGACGGCTTGTCATCAACTGCAGTAGTTGCTCAGCTTCTTCCTCAGTTGGTCTAAAAAATGAATACACTATTAGCTTTTAGTTTTTTCAGTTGAGAGAAGGAAGAAGAGGGGACTTCTCAACAGTTCAACCTTTCAGATACAAATCCTGAGCTCTGGAATGATATCTCACTATTCACAAAATCTATAACATCTTAAGATGTCAAAAGCAAAACTGCTGAGTTTGCAACCAGTGTCTTCCTCAGACACAAATACAGGTAGTCCTCACTTTGCATGGTAGTATGGGACCATAAAAATAACCATGCAAGCTGAAACTGCATCATGATCTTAATAATCAGTGGGGAAAATTACAACCGTTCCATTACCTTTAAAATTTCTGTCAAGACATTACAAACTCTGTTGGTTATAATGCCTAAGGAAACTTTTTAAAACAGTAAAACTAATATTTATATAGCATGCTACAATTGATTATATTAGAAACATCAGGAATTCAAGTGTTGTCTTTATAAGATACATCAAGAGTATTTTAAACAGCCCTTTCCATTCTCTCATTGCATAACTTGTAGAGTGAGCATCTTCTCTAGGCCTTGATGAATCGTCACACCCTTCCTTTCTCAGTGTGGGTCAGCTTCCAGCGTTCCATCCTGTGTACCCTCAGCCATGGAATGCCTGAGTTCCTCTAATGCAAAGACTTCTGCTACCGTCAGTCTTCTGGACGTCTTCATCCTTTTGGTCACAATGACTTCCCTCAAGTTCGCCTTCACCAAATTCATCTGGCTATAATACCCAGGGCCTCTCAAATGTCAACATTCTCAGTCAACTATTTCTTTATATTTGGTTCAAATGTCACTTCTGCTGTTAACCACTTCCTCTTTCTTTGCTACACTTTCATTTTTATTGGCCAATTCCCTCTTTCAATTATTCACTTATGCAAAATATCACATGGGTTTATTCATGGAGAGACAAGGAGGCAGCACTCCTACCCAACTTTGCTGTCTGCTCATGAACTGAGTGATAGTTGTATATGGACCAGTTGCCAAAAGACTTTAAAAGAAACCCTGTGATTGGTCATTGATCACAATGTGCCTCCACACAATGACATGTGGCTTGAAGTTTTCAGTAAACTTTGTACTTTGATTAATGATAATAAATAAGAATTTGGTAAATGAATCACGGCAACTGATACATCAGTTGTTGAGGGAGCAGTGTCACTTGACTAAAGTATGTTAACTGAAACTCATATGTATTGGAGTCATGAAAAGTGAGAACTATATGTATAACAGTTGAGGACATTAATCAAAAAGATATAGTACTGTGTCTAAGAAATCTTGTGCTTAATAATTACAGATCAACTTTGAAAAATCTACAATCTCAGTTGTAAAAGGAAACAGGGCAGATTGACTTCAGCTAGCTGTGTAGGTTACATAAAGGATCCCTCTCAGATCATTCATATAGTCATGTCAAGCTGTGGGCAAGTCACAGGTTTCTAAAACTGCTCTGGCTCCTCCCATATTTATATAATTCTATTTACGATCAGACTAAAATAGATGCATACATCCAAACTAGGAAAGTTCTCCCTTGGGACTTTCTTCTTGACATAGGTCAACTTACTAGTTGAGCCCAACAGAAAACCCAAATCCTCTGAATAAAAGGCCCATGGCTCACTTTCTTGGGATTAGAAACAAGAAAGGAAAATGACAAAAAGGTAAAAGATCAAATTATTGAATACTTGAGTCCAGCGATCCCCATCAAAGCACAGTACAGACGTAAGAGTGCACTGGCTTTCACAACATGCTCTTCTTTCAGCCCCGAATACACAGACACATTGGGCTCCATCTCCACATCAGCTTCTTCCACAATGCGGGTACTTCTTACTGTGGGAAGAATGCCCATCAACTCCAGAAGAAGCTGCCTTCTCATTTGCCAAAGGACAGAACTACTGGTCTCTCTTTTTCTCTGCAGGAAATATGGACCACAAAAGGAAGAAAGCATGGAGCACTTACTAAGTCAAAAGGAAGTTCAAACAGAGCTCTCAGTCAGACACCCGTAAATGATCCATTTGAGAATGAAAGTCGCTCAGTCGTGTCCAACTCTTTGCGACTCCATGGACTATACAGTCCATGGAATTCTCCAGGCCAGAATACTGGAGTGGATAGCCTTTCCCTGCTCCAGGGGATCTTCCCAACCCAGGGATCGAACCAGGGTCTCTTGCATTGCAGGTGGATTCTTGACCAACTGAGCTATCAGGGAAGCCCTGATCCATTTAAGGAGACTGTCATAACTGCAGAATATCATTGTAATCCATCAAGCAAACTCACTGGACCATTTGACAAATACTCTCCTCACCCTGGGCTTCCCTGGTGGCTCAGACGATGAAGAATCTGCCTGCAATGCAGGAGACCTGGGTTCAATCCCTGGGTCGGGAAGATACCCTGGAGAAGGGAATGGCTACCCACTCCAGTATTCTTGCCTGGGAAACCCTTGGACAGAGGAGCCTGGCAGGCTACAGTCCATGGGGTTGCAAAGAGTCAGACACAACTGATTAACTAACACTAACACTGCTCACCCTAATTTGGGCAGGTTGTACAGAAAATACTAAATGAATGATGATTTGAAATGCAAAATATCATGTAAATGATGATTTCAAACACATAAAGACTAGTGGAGTCTTAAGTACAAAGTGCTCAGATTTGGGGCTTGGATTTAAACAACAGCCCTGCTATTAACTATGTACATTTAGATACATAAGTTAACCTCTCTGAGCCCCAATTTCCTTAAATGAGAAGGAAACTAATATTGGATTAACAATATTTAATTCCCAGGACTGCTGGAGCTAGGAGTTTATACGTCACAGCTCTTCAGGCAGTGACATCTACTCATGCTCAGGGGGGCCTGATACATCATGCCTGACATATATCAAGCACTCAATATCTGTTAGATGAATGAACTAACAAAGATGATAAATATGAAAGCATTTCTAAGCTACAAAGGGCTCGGGAAAAGTTGTTATTTTTAGAGTGTTTCAGAGTAAAATATGGTAAATGTTGTTTTAAAACCAATATTAGACACAAAGAACAATGACAAACAAGAGGCTTATACCAAGAGCTTAGCACAGTGCCTGAAATATGCAAAGTACACAAAAAATGTCAACCTCTTGCAAACTTTCAAATTAGTTTTAATTAAGTAAATTAATTAATTAATTTAATTAGTTTTCAAATGGATTATAAGAAGAACTTGGATAAAGAAAAGTATGGTGAATTAATAGCATAAAAAAACAGACTCTAGAAGGATCTAAGAAGTACATCTGCTATGTCAAGTTCACAGACCTCAACAAGTTAAAAACTCATTCTGCATTATTAGTTCCTGGGTAGGGACAGAACTCTGTTCACAGTTATCATGAGATGTTTTTCGAAAAAGTACAATATTTTGCAAGTTAAAAACTCTTGTAAAATATAATATATATTCATCAATAAAGGGATACATGTAGTAGATACATACAATAAAATATTAGGCTTAGAAAGGAAGGAAATTCTTACACTTGCCGTAACGTGTATGAACCTTGAAAACATTGTGCCAAGTAAAAATAAGCCAAAAGCAAAATGAGAAATATTGTATGATTCCACTTACACGAGGTACCTAGCATGGGCAAATTCATAGATAGAGAAAGTAGAAGAGAGATTACCCAACACTGAGAGGAAGGGGGAATGGGAAATTATTGCTTAATTAGTAGAGAGTTTCTATCAGATGATGAAAGAGTTCTGAAAATGAACAGCGGTGATTGCTGCAGAACACAGTAAATGTAATTAATGCCACTGAACTGTGCACTCAGACAAGGATTCAAATGGTAAGTTTTATGTTATATATATCTTACCACAATAATTTACACATGTGTGTGTATATATATGAATCATAGACTACAATAACAACTTATGGTGATGACCTAATATGGCAGTTCTCATGTGTCTGACCCAGAAATCTGGAGATGAACAATATACTTCCAGGGGGTCCAGAAATTCAGAAATCTCTCAACATTACAGACCTTTTTTACTCATTTTCCCACAAGTATATAGCGTAGCTTTTCCAAAGACTTCTATTAAGCCAGATGTTAAAGAGATTTGCAAAAATGTACAATATCACTCGGTAAATTTTTCTTTTGCAAAAAAATTAATTTTCTGTTAAAAAAATGTGGTCACATTTAATAAGATTAGGATTATTTTTTAATGAATTAAATAAATATTTCAAAAATTTCAGTTTTCATTTCTAGTATGGTAAATATCAACAGATAAAGGCCAACATAAAAGCTCTTTGTGTCCTCAATGATTTACTGTAAAATCTCAGGAAGTCCTGAGACTAAGAAGTCTGAGAGCCACTGGCCTAAAAGTGTTTCTTCCTCCTTTACTAACTACTAACATAGCTTGATCCTTGACCTAAACACACATTTCTCCCTCACCTGCTGTCCATTTCGGATAAAAGTTCCAAACCAGGTCCGGACTTTTGCATTTGTTCCAAGAAGCAAACCACTAACAAAACAAACCAAGTCACTCACTCCATCTTCACTAGCTTCATTTTTAGTATGATCCAATGTCAAAGCCACTCCAAGACCTGGCAAGTGACATTCTTCCACCTAACAAAGCAAAGAAAACAAACTGAACTCAGTATCATAAAGAAAAGGGCCAGGATGATCCAGAATCTGAAGCATCTAAAGTTTAGGGGAAGACATAGCACAAACCACAAAAACCTAGAGAGGAAGGTAATATATCTGGTATATAACTATAGTTCCAAATCTCAGCAAGATTCAAAAAAAAGTTCCTGGTCCCAAAATAAAGGCTCTGGTCTCATAAAAATAGTAAGATCTCTTACCACCATGCCTCGGACCTTCAGGGCCTGAGAAGGATTCATTTTACATAAGAAGCGTAAAGCATCCGTCCTCCGCCTTCCTCCAAGACTCTCTTCATCTTGTCGTTCTCCATTTTTGATCAGGCCCCTACAAACTGAACATTTAGTAGCCTCTGTTACTTTAAGCTTTGTAAGTAAGATGTCAGAATCAATGTTTTCAGCCTTGAGAATCATTCATTTACACAGATTAGATATTACAAAAGAAGAGGATCAGGAAACTTGAAAGCATAGCAATAGAAACTGGTTAAAATCCAGCAGAGTGAAAAGAGCCTCAAAAAATGAAGTGATCCGTGGAACATTAAGTAGTTCAACATACTTGTAATTAGAGTCTCAGAAAGAGAAAGAGAATGACAGACAAACATATATTTGAAGAAACTTTTCCAAACTTGATGAAAACTATAAACCTAGAAAATTGGTGAAACCCAAGCAGGAGAAACACAAAATCATAACAAGATACATCATAATCCAATCTCTGAAAACCAGTGATGAAGAAAAAATCTTAAAAGTTGCCAGAAAGGATAAAAAAATAAATAAATAAAAGTAGCCAGAGGGAAAAAAGAAACATACAGAGGAACAGAGATAAAAACGACCATAGCCAAGAGAATAACATCTTTAAAGAGCTAAGAGAAAAAGTCAACCTAAACCTTCATGGAATAGCCAGTAAATCTCTTAGAAACAAAAAGAAAATATTAACACTTCCATTTCACAAGTAACAAGTTAAGTACCTTGATGGAGATCACACAAAGAGTGAGCCACAAAGTCAGAAATTATGAACCCCAGATCTAGTGCTTTTTTCTCCTTGACTCACAATTCGCAAAACATCTTGCTCAATAAATGTAATTTTTATATCACTCAGACCCAAACCACAATCTTCAGTCACTAGCAGTTTGAAACACAGGTGAAAATTTTAGTTGATTTTTCGCAATTTTTACCCTATACTTTTCTGCAAAATGACAGCAATAAGGCTAAAACATGGAAGTCTGACTGTTGGTATTTCTAATCCATATATCTCATGTTACCCTCTGGCTATTTCACAGATAAATGTCCTCTCCTCTTTGTTCAATGAGCACAGAAATTATAGCTTCTATGTCTTTAATATTTTTTACTTCCCTATTATAGCACTGGTGACAAATGCAAAAAACAAAAAAATGCTGCATACTCATTGTACTTACATTTGTAATTTCTAAACAGTTTTGAATTCTCTAAACTCAGTATTTCTACAACTATTTATTGTTTAGTCACTAAGTTATGTCTGACTCTTTGCAATCCCGTGTACTGCCAGGCTCCTCTGTCCATGGGATTTTCCAGGCAAGAGTACTGGAGTGGGGTGCCATTTCATTCTCCAGGGGATCTTCCCAACCCAGGGATCAAACCCACATCTCCTGCACTGGCAGGCAGATTCTTTACCACTGAGCCACTTGGGAAGCCCATTTCTACAGCATTCACTAATAAATTTTCAAAAAATAAAATCTCAGATAAAACCTTATAAATGTTTCCTCTTAGCTCAAAAAATAGGTCTCACACATGCCCAAACAAATCTCTTCAATATCCCTTTTTGTTGTTGCTGTTGTTTTCTTTTCTTTTGTTTTGTTTTTGGCCATGCTGGCACAGCAAATGAGATCGTGGTTCCCTGACCAGGGATCGAACCCACACCCTCTCCACTGGAAGCATGGAGTCTTAACCACTGGGCCACCAGGGAAGTCCCCAATATTCCACTTTAAAATTGCATTTACCTTCATTAAAACTATCAGGAACATTGGCCACCAACAGACACAAGAACCAGGCGCCGTTTCTAACATGGAGCAAGGCTTCAGCTACATCAACTATAGGAAGCAGGGAAGGGAGCTCTATAAGAAAACAAAATCAGTGTTATTACTAAGGAGTGATATTTCAGTGTATTATACATTAAACATCTTTGACATTTCACCAATGTTACTTAAAAGCAATTAAATTAAGGTACTTTCTTTTCACAGTCTCAAGCTGACTTGTCCAGTAGGACAGCCACTAGCCACATGTGATTATTTAAATTAAGTTAAAAATAGGTCCGCTCCTCAGTCACACTTGCCACATTTCAAGTACTCCATAACTACATGTGGCTAGTGGCTACTGTACTGAACACACTATACAGAACACTATCATCGCTGCCGTGGTGGACGGTGTTAGTCAAAGAAGTTACTTTCATGAAAAGTTTCTCTGCATTTCTATATCTTCTATCTTTTCATTCTGATCATGCACACTTTTTATAAAGAACCAAAAAAGTACAAAAAGCACAAAGAATAAAAATAAAATCAGCTCTAATCCCATCACTCAAAGTTAGTAATTTGCAAGATCTGACTTTAATCCCCCTATGGGCATCACTGTACTTTTAACAAAACTGGGATTTTATTCTACTTACCATTTTGCCACCTGCTTTTTTTCATTTAACATATATTGTGAACATTTTCCAAAATGATTAAAGTTCTTCAAATACACATCATTTTAATGGCAGCAGAGTGCACTCTACTATGGAAATAATATAATTTATTTAATCACTGTGCCACTATTAGTCATTTTGACCTAAACTTTTAAGGTATATACTTAATTAGGTGAACTTTCAAATAACACAATATTCCAGGTTAAGAAGTTACACAGTTATCATTTAACAGGAACATTTAACTGCATCTGAAATATGTCTTAGCATTCATTACAGTACCTGCTTGTAAAATACAAAGTACATCTGCAGCTTCCTCCAAGTAGACTGGACTCTCAAATAGCTCAGATGATTTAAAAAAAAATTCTCCACTGGACTCAGATACCTTAAAAGGAAAGAAAGAAAAATGATGAGTTCTCTTAATTTCAGGTAATGAATTGGATCCCTACTATGCTTGCAAGTATTTGCTGAGCTTACAGACCATGTCTCTTAATAGCCATTAATATACTGTAGAAGAATATGCAGGACTGGATGAATTTGTACCAATTTAACCACAATTAGTCAGTCACACTACTATTCCAGACACGCAGTATAAGTCTGACTAATTTATTTCTATATAAATATTTGGAGACATCTGAAGTTAAAGACAAGCCAAAGAAATGAACTAGGAATGCTACCTAGGTCACTTATTTCATTACAGCCATTAAGAAAAAGATATAGGAAAATATTAGTTAAAATTAAAGATTATCAGGAATTCCCTGGAAGTCCAGTGGTAAGGATTTCATGCTTTCACTATCAAGGACCCAGGTTCAACCCCTATTCAGGGAACTAAGATCACACAAGCCACATGGCACAGCAAAAAAATAAGAAAAATAAAAAAGGAAAATGAAAAAGAAAAAATTAAAGATTATGAGTACATAGGGAAAAGAGTTGAGGTAAATTAACTTTGTAATAGGAAAAAAAATTAAGATTTATAACATATCTTAAAAAAAAATAAAAAAAGATTTATAACATATCTTAAAAACTATCTAGAACTAAACAAATCTTTCCCTTATCAGTTTTTTCTTTGGAAACAGAATTTAGGTTTTATTGGTCCACAATTTATAAAATTAAACTTTATTATAAAGTAACTGACCTTGAGATTCTCAAAGTAAAAAACATCTGTTTCTCAAATTCTGAGCTCCATCTCATATAAGACATCTTAATATGAAGATCCAATTTGTATGATAACTCCTGACATTCACAAATTTAAAATTCAGAGTTTCAATTAACCATCATCACCCAAAGTCCTCGACCTAATCTCTGTACACCTGAAATAAAACACTGCAAATCTTCAATAAAAATAAATAAAGTAACATCTTTTTGCTGAGACAAAAGGCTGAATAACCTTCATTAGTACACAGAAACTATTCAGTCATCTAGTGAGTAAGGCTAGCCAAATATCCCACATCCAATTCAGCCTCAATATTCCCCACTCAGTTATGTATGATGTATGTAATTCACTCAGTATCTAAAGGAAGCACACACATTTTTAAGAATCATGTACATACTTTACATATTTTCTGGGGGAAATCATATCCTATAGAGTTATTAACAACTTTGGTGATTTACAAGTCTTGAGCTATGTATCTATTAAGAAATCATCGTATGGATTCCATACAGAAAAAAAAAAACACTTGATGATAGAGAATGCAGAGCAGGCAAAAATGAGAGAAAACAGTAATTATAAAACAGCCTTCAAAAGGAGGCATTTAATATCTGTTCATGCCTTTGAAAGGAAGACACCTGATTAACAAAGAGGATATGTGTCCAAGAGGATGCAAGCTGCCTGCCTTCCTGCCTATTTCTACCTTTTCTTTTCTTTTTTTGGCTGCATCAGGTCACAGTTGCAGTACATGGGCTTAGTTGCCCCTGGCATTTGGGATCTCAGTTCCCTGACCTGAAATCAAACTTCCCCTGCACTGGAAGACAGACTCTTAACCACTGGACCACCAGGGGAGTCCAGCCTTGTTTCTATCTCTTATGTGTAGACATCAAATCATGCATATTTTGATCTGTGATTAAAATAAATGCACCTTGTTCATAATTGCCAACAGTTCACTAAGCACAAGACGCAGTCGACGAGGTGAATCGCTGTGTTCAAACTCTAAAGTCAGTCCATGCTGAAGCTGTGACACCAGGATGCTCTCTCCACTGCCTCCTCCAAGTTTATGCCTAATAAAGTACACACGTGTAAAACTATTATGAGAACACTGGCACAGAAATAAAAGCATAAACACTATCTTTTATAGAAATAATCTACAAAAGAATGTATGAATTCTTTTGATATATTTCATGAATGTATTACTTCTGAATACTATTTTGTCTATTTCAGAGAGTCACAACCTGTGTAAAGACTCCAATCATAACTGACAGGTTAACACCCACTTCCATCAATAACAGTGGCTCACAACAATCCACAATGGGCAAGGAGGGACAAAGTATGCCTCGAATTTGGGGAACTCAATGTAAGCTTAACAAGCCTCGCAGGAGACTCCAATAAACCCTTTTGCTCTAGGGGAACTTACTCTATCCGCTTCCCACTGAGAGTAATTGGCCTAATGATTTTAGCCTGCATACAACATTTGTTTAGTCGCTAAGTCAGCTCAAACTGTTTTTGCAACTTCATGGACTGCAGCCCGCCAGGCTCCTCTGTCCATGGGATTTCCCAGGCAAGAATACTGGAGTGGGTTGCCATCTCTGATTCTAAGGGATCTTCTCGACCCAGGGGTTGAACCGGCGTCTCCTCCATTGGCAGGCAGACTCTACCATCTGAGCCACCAGGGAAGGCCTGAATACAAATGTATACACAGCCAAGGTTCTCAGCACATTTCACAATACAGAATTCAAATGATCTAGAATTTTAATTATAAGTAAAAAATAACTTTAAAAAAATGCTCTCCAAAGTTTAGAGTCCCAATCTTCTCTTTTTTGGAAGAATGCACTGCAATAAGAAGCCCTAAAAGCTCCAAAAAAATTCATTTCCTCCCTTTTTTTTTTTTTAGCATATCCAAGTAAATACCAACCCACATATTATACAATATTCATTACCTAAGCTGTTGCTCTTTGCTGGCATCCTGTTCTAAAGCATGAAAGTCCACAGACAGCAATGCAACAATAGAATTGACAGCTTCCACTCCAGAGAGAAGACGAAGGATAAGTTTTTTATCCTGAGCCCAGCTCTGGCTCTGGTCAGCAGGTGCACAAAGTGCCATCCGCACCAAGCAGGGCAGGAGAAGTCTCAATTCTGGATCACTTAAAGATGCCAAACGAACAACATCCACCTTCTGCATTGCCTCAAAAGCAAAAGGACTGACAAACTGAAGGCTTGTACACTCGGTCATTATCACCGTTGATCCTAGTGGTTAAAAAAAGAAAAAGAAAAAACGATGATGTCTGGTAGAAACCAATGCAATACTGTAAAGTCTTACAGTAAATGTAATACTCATAAATCCTTCAATTAAAATAAAAATTTTTTAAAAAGGATTTTTTTTTTAAAGCAAAGTAAGTAGGGGTGTAACTGCACATATACGAATGCCCCTCTTTTTAAAAACTCTGAAAAATGTGGTTTATCTTATATGTTGGCAATATTCCTGGCACAATTACTAACTCCTTATACTTCTACTGCCATCTGGAAAATGAGAAAGAAAACAGTATATTAACATCTTCCAGCCTTGGGGATCTTCTGTTCTAATATTCTCATTTTGCAGAGAAAGAATAGGAAAGCCAGACAGATTAAGTAACAGGCCCAGAGGAGTATTACTAGTCGGCGGCAAAATCTAAAGCTGAACCCTCCTCTACTAAATCCCAGTGCAACACCTTCTCCACTATAGCAGTCATCTGAGGGCCACAATCCAAAGTAAAACAACAGCATAACTAACAATGCTAGTCTTCAATACCTCTTTAGTTTCGCGTGCCTACCCAGCACATGTAAAGAACTGTTAGGTTTCTCTTTCCCACCCTCCACGAGTTGGTAGAAACACTGGTAAACTGCCTAACCAGCCAGAAGCTATGCCAGCTTCAAAGCTCTGGAGACCAGAACTCTATCCTATATCCCCTATGTTACTAGGTTTAAAAAAAAAAAAGAGAAAAGAAAACAGCTGCGGAGGTGCAATTAGCTCCTAGCAGAAAGGAGAAATCCTGAATCCCACTTGAGCACTTCTCAAGAGTAATCAGAAACAAAAAAGTTAGTAGCCAAAGCCATCCCCTCTGAGACCCATAGACTAGCAGAATCATGCGTAACAAGAGCCGTGGGCAGAAACGTTCTGCTTTTCAGCAAGAGGAGCTGGCCTTTTAACAGAGGGGCGGGCTGAGAGAGCAGAGGCGAGGAGACCTGAGCGCTCATAGGTCTCGCCCCCGGGCGTAACGTGAACCAACCAGTCCCTCTGGAGAAGAGTCGGGCCGGTGGCGGACACGGGCCCCGAAACGCTCCGAGGCCTTAGAAGCGGGACCCTCATACCTTCAGGTCTACCCTCCGGCCTCCCGGGACCCCACCCGGATTCCGCGCCCTACAGGCGGGGCGCGGTAGAAATCGAGAGCGCGGTCCGAGGTTGGGCCTAGGCGAGAACCCGGCTTCCCCAGCCCTATAGCTCTGCCTTGAGTCGACCTGGGCACCAAAAACCCCACACGTCGGGATCAGTCAGGCCGGCGGTGCGACGGGGGCTGGATGGGGACACCGCGCAAAGGCAGAGCCTGGACTGCAGGGACGGGAAAGCTGAGGAGACTGTTTCCACCCGCTCGCAGCACCTTCATTCATCCCCAGCGTCTGGCTCCGGTCGGCCACCGTACTGGACTGAGAGGAAGGCTGGCTGCGAGAGGACACCCGGAGGCGTCGGCGGTGACGCAGCGGCGCGCGTGCGCGGCCCCGCCCCTTCCTCCGCCTCAGTTCGCGCTACTTCATCCTGGAAGGCGTAGGGTCGTGCTGTTTCCAGTCTCCTTTCCAGAGCATACCAGCTGAATCCCTTTATCTAAATCATTAAGCCTCTCCGTGCTGCCTTGTCATCATCACCGGATTACTGTGCCATTCAAATGACAGCGTTATGTAAAATGTTCAAGTTGCCCCACTGTTCAGTTGGCCAGAACGGCCAAATGGAACCAGTTAACACCGTTCCATCTCTGCTTCTGCCTGTCCAGCACCGCAGTTCTAGAATCCTGGGGTTTGCAGGAGAATTTAAAAAGTAATCTAACTCTGAAGCATTATTCTGCTCTTCATCTCAGAACACAGTCATGAGTTAAACATCGCTATTTTGGGTTCTCAGGAAGCATAGATCTTTCGTGGGCGATGGATGGCATTTCAGGAGTTCTCTAGAATCCCTGCCGAATTGTGAATTCTTGAGCTTCTTCTGGAAAGAGGGTCCAAAACTTTCAACAACTTCTCAAAGGAGTTTGGACCACCCAGAAGACCAAGAACTTCTAGCCTTTATATATTTGCGTGTTATTTCTGGTTTCTGGTTCAATCCATATGTATTTAACACCTTCTATTCACCAGATATTATGCGAGGTACTGAAACAAAAATATTTTACAGAGATAGAGTACTTCATGCTTTATGTTCAGTTCAGTCGCTCAGTCGTGTCCCACTCTGCGCCCCCATGAATTGCAGCACACCAGGCCTCCCTGTCCATCACCAACTCCGGGAGTTTACTCAAACTTATGTCCGTCGAGTTGGTGATGCCATCCAGCCATCTCATCCTCTGTCGTCCCCTTCTCCTCCTGTCCCCAATCCCTCCCAGCATCAGGGTCTTTTCCAATGAGTCAACTCTTTGCACGAGGTGGCCAAAGTATTGGAGTTTCAGCTTCAGTCTCAGTCCTTCCAATGAACACCCAGGACTGATCTCCTTCAGGATGGACTGGTTGGATCTCCTTGCAGTCCAAGGGACTCTCAAGAGTCTTCTCCAACACCACAGTTCAAAAGCATCAATTCTTCGGCACTCAGCTTTCTTCACACTATATTAGGTTGGTGCAAAAGTAGAGGTTTCTGACCATGAATTTTAAATCATTATAACTAGGCTCAGATACATTTTGATTAATCAAGATAGAAATCATTACAATAAACATTATTGCCAAAGAGAAATAAATTTGTTTAGTCCTGTAGAATAAAAATCCACACCTTAGGATTTGAGGAACTCTTGGAAAGCATTTTCTGCATCCTGCTGATTGTGGAAGTGTTTTCCCTGCAAAAAGTTGTCAAAATGCTTGAAGAAGTGGTAGTCCGATGACAAGAGGTCAGGTGAATATGGCAGATAAGGCAAAACTTTGTAGCCCAATTCTTTCCACTTTTGAAGCACTGGTTGTGCTACATGCGGTCAGGGGTTGTCGTGGAGAAGAACTGGAACCTTTCTGTTGACCAATGCTGGCTGCAGGCATTGCAGTTTTCGGTGCCTCTCATCAATTTGCTGAGCATACTTCTCAGATGTCATGGTTTCACCGGGATTCAGCAAGCTGTAGTGGAGCAGACTGCAGCAAACCACCAGACAGTGACCATGACCTTTTTTTTTTTTTTTTTTTGGTGCAAGTTTAGCTTGGGGAAGTGCTCTGGAGCTTCTTCTCTGTCCAGGCACTGAGCTGGTTGTCACTGGTTGTTGGGTTAATATACAATCCGATCAAGAAATGGTTTGTTGTTGTTGCATAGAATAAGAGAAGATGAAGCTTCAAAACGATACCATTTTTTTATATTTACAGTCAGCATATTCTTGCCTGGAGAATCCCATGGACAGAAGAGCCTGTTGGGCTACAGTCCATGGGGTTGCAAAGAGTTGGACAAAACTGAAAGACTAACACGCTCACAGCTCATGAGGCACACACTTATCAAGCTCTTTCACACTTCAACTTTGCTATAAATGCCGAACAACCATAGAATGGTTGACGTTGAGTTCTTCGGAGACTCACTGGAAAAGACTCTGATGCTGGGAGCAATTGGGGGCAGGAGGAGAAGGGGACAACTGAGGATGAGATGGCTGGATGGCATCACCGACTCGATGGGCATGGGTTTGGGTAGACTCCGGGAGTTGGTGATGGACAGGGAGGCCTGGCGTGCTGCGCGATTCATGGGGTCACAAAGAGTCGGACACGACTAAGCGACTTAAGTGACTGAGTTCTTCGGCAACATCCGCAGTTGTAAGAGGATCACTTTTGATGATCGTCCCAATTGGTCGCTGTCAACTTCCCATGCCTGGCCACTACGCTGCTCATCTTCAAGGCTCTCATCTCCTTTGCAAAACTTCTTGACCCACCACTGAACAGTACATTCGTTAGCAGTTCCTGGGCCAAATGCGCTGTTGATGTTGCAAGTTGCCTCCGCTGCTTTACGACCCGTGTTGAACTTAGATAAGAAAATCACTCAAATTTGCTTTTTGTCTGATACCATTTTCCTAGTCGAAAATAAATATAAAATAAACAGCAAGTAATAAATGATTAGCAAAAAAAAAAAAAGCAAGAAATGGGCATTAAAATGATGCTAACATAATCACATTTTTTAAAGGTTGTATTCTATTATCAAATGGCAAATTTCAACAATGCAAAAACCAAAATTATGTTTGCACCAACCTAATAGTTTCCAAAACTTTGACAATCAGATAATCTATTTAAAAATAAAGTCTTGCCTTCAACATGAAAAATAAGCAAAGGAACAAAAAAATTAATGTGCGTTGTCTTGCAGTGCTTTTCAAACCTTTTTCCATCTGGCCCACAGTAATGCATTTCACATTGTGACCCAAGACACAGATATACATATATATCCACATTTATATGGAAACAAACATCTTATGAAATAATACAAATTACATATATATATTCTATTTCACTTCTTTAAATTAATGGTCACTGAACACTAAAATTGATTTCACAATCTACTAATGGGTTACAAACTGTACAATCCTATCATTTTTAAGTTGATATCTATTAAAAGACATTTACTGGACACTTGCTAGGTACTAGTGCTTTATGTCTATAATTGGATTTCGTTTTCTGATGTAAGTAATATTATTCTCCATTTTATAATTATGGGAATTGAAAATTAGAAGTTAAGCAATTTCATCTTCCTGGGTGATCATTTAATAAGAAGAGTGAAGGGAATTCAAACATGGCTTTGGTGGTTCAATGAGAGCAGGAAGTGGGTGTGACTAAGTGCTTTCTTGCTTGCTTGCTTTGGCTATGCCGCAGGTATCTTTCCCTGTGATACAGAGACCTGTCTCTGGTTGGAACACAGGGGCTTTGCAGACTCTGTCATGCAGGTTCTCCAGCTGCGGCACCTAGGCTCAGTACTTTGTGGCAGGCAGTCTCAGCAGCCGGAGCTCAGGCTTACTTGCCCCACCACATGTGGGATCTTAGCTCCCTAACCAGGGATTG